GGTTCGTGGTCAAACTGAACACGGATTGACATGAAAATATTAAATGTATGCATTTAATTAAATTTATAAGAAGTAATGCATTGAATAATACGTTTATTGGGTTTAAACTTGAATACGTCTGTGAAAGAATGCATAGTAGGCTATAAAAAAAAAATTTAAACAACACGGAAATAGCGACAATTGTGCATATAAATTACTATATATGGGCTTAAAGTACAACCTGTGAGCAGTTTTTCAAGATGCTTTTGTGATCTTCGTTTTATACTTGTTGATGCGCAGCGGGTCATCTTAAAAGTGCCGTCGGAGCTACCGATCTCTGTATAACGGCCGTTGGAGCCCTCTGCTGGTAGGGAATCGTAAGATGGCCGCTCGAACACTTCCGGTGGCTTCACTGCCTGGTGGCAGTTTAGAACGTCATGAGCTATCCAGTCATTATATAGATCAGTGGTTGCACCGCACTTTTACATGTTGGTTTTTGAACTTTTGGTTTTGATTTCAAAGCGTCAACACATAACGGCACTTGCAACTACCGCAAATTCTCATTGCAGTGTGTCACTCACACTTGTCAGGACAGTGATTGAGAACACACACACAAGCACACAGTTTTATCCAATAATATACCACCAATAGTGGTTCACTTCCGCGATTAAGTGCGATTGCTTTCAAATCACTAGCGAACCGTACCGGAGTTCACATGAACCGTACCCCAGACCACCCTTTTTATGCGGACTCGGGTTGGGTTCGTGTGCGCGCACTTGAGAACACAGCCTTCACATCATCCGAATGAACTGAACCCAGATGCGCACCAGAACTGCTAGAGTGAACGCATCCTTTAATGCATTGTTTCCAAACAGGTTTCCCAAACACTCATACCACCACTTAAAGGTCACATTAGCTCAATTTTAGGTCACATTTTGCAGGAAAAAAGGTCCATTGTCTATAGCCAAGATTGTACTGATGTATGAAGTAAAGCTCACACAGAAGTCACTTTCACACCAAGCATCTTTCTGCTGGTCAATGTGATGAATCTGCATGACCAACTTGAACCCGTTACAAAATCTGCGTGGGAATATATTCTCCCTTATGCAAAATACCAGATTACTATTGAAATAACTGGATTTCACACATGGAAATTCACCTCAATTCTTCTCCGCCCCCAGTCTTACTGGTCAGAGGAACAGTCCAACTCACGTCCATTAGGAAAATGACACACATCAGCTTTAAATCATACAAATGAGAGCCTTTTTCAATCACTGCCTGCACTAGCAGTCTGCACCATTTGTTCTGCACAAAAAAGCCAGTTACTATAAAGACATCACTAGAGAAGGCAACATCATGGGCCTTTATAGGACAGAAGCCAAATATATTCTCAGTTATCTGGTTTGTTCGGCAATTCACCAAATCACATTGGTGCATTTATAAGGCTTAACCCCTAAGCACAATAAGCCCTACCAGCAGAAACTGCAACCATGAAACTCCAGTGCAGTTCAGCTTTCAGAAGGAATTAGCCCTGAGGTGTTCGTCTGCGATCATCTTCCCTCCATCCGCCAGCGATCGCCTCATGCTGTAACACTGCACCTCCCAACACTGCTGACATCAAACGGGACAAATATGTAAACCATCATGGATCGCTACTAATCACACCCTTGATATATCCAACATCCAAGGCCACATGAAGCCCCAGCCAGATATCATCACAGCCTCATATAAACAAGGGTAAATTACAGAGCTCCAGTCCAGCCTGAATAGGAAATGCCTTCTTCCTTACACTTATACTATTGCAGACGCTTTTACAAAATATCTCAGCAAATAGTGGTTGATGTAAACAGTCATGCTGATGTGTAAAACTGTGTTTAGGTTTTCGAGCAACAACTCAAATGCATTTTTAAACCAATGACAATCACAGACTTGACGAAATAGAATAATTGTACACATAGTGAACCACAAGATAGTCCATAATAAACTAGATTAGGTGATAACTCAGAAATAGGCATATTAACAAGTAAAAATGTTTTAATAAAGTGATTTATCACCAGATGATAAATAATGGAAAACAGCAACAGCAACAACAGCATAAATAAAACCAGCGAATGGTAAATCATTTTTAAACAGAGGGGGGAACAAGGTTTCGGGGTTTCTGTGTAAAAGGCCAGTTTCAGTTTAGTTGTTGTTGTTTTTTGCTCAAAATCAGTGTGTGACAGAAGTGACACCAGCCGCACTGCCACTGAAATCTACATGATTTCATCTTGTATTCGGTTTATTTTCGATCTATCTGAATACCTTGCAAACATCTGGTTTTCTGTGTTCTACATTGTTTCAAATTCTGCTGATTTGTCAGGGTATCAAACTTGCTAACAATTTTGTCAAAATTGCAAAAATTACTAGTAATCACATTAAAGTCGTATATAATTTGTGGCTTGTTGTAATTTTTTTGTAAATACATTTAATTAAGAATATAAAAATATAGATATTTCTACCAAATATAGAGCATTGCTAAAAAAATATTTTTCATTCCTTTTGAGGGAAAATCCTTAATGCCGAGCCCTTATACACGTTATGTTGGCCGTTGAAGTGACAGCAGTGTCCTGCAAGGGGAACAGCTGTAACTCATTAAATATTTATCTATTATATTTCTATTATATAGGCTGTTTTATGAGCTAGTGTTATTTGGGAGACTACATGAAATATTTGATAACGGAAAAAAATCATGTCACTCTAAAAGCTAAAAGATTCTTTAAAAAAGTATAAAAACATAAAATAATAACCAGTTAAGGGACCCAAAATATATGCTAATACATCAGCTGAAATATGGATGATATTTGTCATCAACACTCTGGGACGCACAGAATGAGTATTTTTGTGCTTTCTCTTGAAAAGAGACGGCTCATCATCACACTTGCAGTGGTTCTGGCGAGAAGACGTCTTCCTCAACAAACACGAGGATATTTTACTAACGGCAGTGCACATCAGAATCCACAGTTATCTGAAACGGATGGATCCATTTAAAGATCAGATTTTATCCACATTTTCTAAATAGTTGTAATAATCTTCAGGACACAGCTTTTTGAAGTAATTATAAGGTACACTGTCATTATCACAAGCAATTAATATGAACCAAATGGACCTATTCAACCCAAACCCACTCCCACATCTTTAATATATCTCTTTTTGATTGCTCATAAATGACTTTTACATAATGCGAGTTTAAGACGGAGAACATCTTGTGTGTGTTTTATCTTTTTCCTTCTTAATTCACGTTCTTGTCTCTCATCTCATATGCTCTGAGTGACTCTGCTGTTTTATCACCTATAAAAACACATACGATACTTTTAATAAAAATAAGTTTCGCATTTTTGCTTTATTTGAACATTGCAATAAACAGGTTTTTTGTCTTTTTAAATCAGTTAGTTTTAGTCAATAACTCAATGGAGGTGTCAATTTATTGATATAATAATATTTTTTGTAAGTGTTCTCTGTCGTGTGTGAGTTTTTTGAGAAAGAGACAAGAGCAAAGAGCAAAATACGGGTTATGAGGGTAAAAGGATCATAGTTGGTGAGTTGGGGCCCGTAACTGTAATTGCTTAGGGCCCCAAACCTCATAGGCACACAGCATGAGCATCGGGCGTGGAGGTTTGTGACACGTGCGCCACCTAGTGCACACATCAAGAAACTACAAAACCTGTCGGTGATGCTGTAATGATGTAGCAAAATGTGGATCATGCTTAGTCACGATCTATTGATTTATAGTCCTTCCTGATTTTTTCTTTCTTTGTTGAAAGTCACAATTTGAGGGTCAAATTTGACCAATCCGTGTCAGACGTCACTAAACCATCCTCCACACACTGACCAACACTTTTATCATGATCTGCACTGTGAGGGTCGTTAAACTGCGGGATGGATATGGTCACACGTGTGAAAGAAAGCTGGAGTTATTAGACCCTACTACAGCAACAGAGTGCACTTTTTATTTTTAATAATTTTAAAGTTGCATGTATAAATGTGAGATTAATGTGTACTGTAGAGATTCCGCGCTGATCATACAAACAAATAGCCTATAAAGCAGCTTTCATGAGTGTGTGAGAGCAGTAGCACGCAGCCGGAATGTGTGTGTGTGTGTAGGAGGGAACTATAGTTTGACCTGTAACTAGGGTTGAGTTGAGGGTGTGTACAGTAAGTTACATTACCACAGACTTCACTCGACATTTACCTTTCTGTACAGGTATCGAGAGCTCTAAGCCTTATCCTCAGTAGGGATTGTTCTGGTTCTGTACAGCTTGTCGTGTTGTGGAGTGGTCCTCCTCGCGCGAGTAACGCGAGCGTGTCTGAAGCGGTAAGCGCGTGCCAGCGGCGTCGCTGCCATTGATTGATTGACGGCTCTTCTTTGTCCTGCTTCCTGTTCCTTGTTTACATTCAAATGTGGCAGTATCAGATTTCTGTTTGTTTGTTTGAATATGTGTGTGTCGAGATTGACCGATATCCCTCTTTTAATGTTATTAAGCAGAATTGAATTCCACTTTACTGTATATTTATGATAAAAGTAAATGGTTTTTATTTTCATTTTATACATTAATGTCATATTTTACTTTTCAACAAAAAATATGATGGTATAGCCTAATACTGTTTTTTTAGGGGGTTTGTTGTTGAAGTGTTTTAAACTAAGTACTATGAATGAAGGCCAGTATCACTTTTTTTCCTTAATTTCTTTAAAAGCCATTAAACATAACAGCATAATTAAAGGTTTATATTTAACAATTATACAGAACTTTAAAAATATAACAACAACCTAAGTTATTTAACTGAACTTAACTTAAAGCTAGTTTCACAACCCCAATTGAAAAGTAACATTTGTATAATATGTTTGATGTTTCTGTCTGTAACTCTATCAGCCCTCTCTCTCTCTCTCTCTCTCTCTCTCTCTCTCTCTCTCTCTCTCTCTCTGGGATAGTTTACTCTGCATGACGTTCTGTGGTGTTACTTCTTCTTTTGAATCTGTTTTACAGAGTCCAAACGCAAGCGAGACCAGTAGACGCGCGTTCTGTGAGCCGTGTGTTTGTGAGTGAAGCGTGAAGATGCTGCAGCAGATCCTGGCTGACATGTACATCGAGCCGGAGCTGCTGTCCGAGCTCAACGAGGAGCAGAAACAGGTGCTGTTCCTCAAGATGAGGGAAGAGCAGATCAGGAGATGGAGAGAGCGAGAGACACAGCTGGAGAAGGAGGAGGCTGCACGCCTGAAAGACAGAAAAGGTTTTCATTTACACATCCTTACTGACAATAAGATGTGAATATACAGGCAAAGGATCTGTCATACATATTACCAGAAATAATTTGTGTGTGTGTGTGTGTGTTTGTGTGTGTGTGTGTGCAGTTTCAGGAAAGTTTGTGTCATGGATGAAGGGTCTTGATGATGATGTGTGGGTTTGGGTGATGGGAGAACATCGTGACGACAAACCTTACGATCAAATCTGTGACGAGATCATGGGCGAGAGAGCAGCGCTGCAGGCGCAGAGAGAGGCTGAGCAGCTCAGGTGAAACACACACACTCTTCATTCATGCAGCGCAAACACAACTACACACTCGCTATAGGCAGACCGGGTATGGATGTAACACTTTTGGCTTTAAGTCAAATCACCTTCATTTATAAAGCGCTTTTAACAATATAGATTGTTTCAAAGCAGCTTTACAGTGATAATAGGAAATTAAAGTAACATAGATTGTTTTGGCTTTACAGCAGCTCTAGCATAAAGTTATTAAAGTTAGTTTTGATTGATTCACTTCCGTTGCAAAGATCATTAGTTATGAACTGTATTCGCAAAAATATGTGTATTTGTGGAAAAAAAAGTTATCTCTGCGTAAACTTCAAAAGGCCTTCACAGGGAGGGACTAGTGACACTTCAGGACTGCGTTGTCGTCGTGTACAGGCGCAGGTCCTCCATCAGATCTGGAAACGCCCTGGATCCGGCGGACTGCGGTAAACCTCGGGTAATATTAGCGTAGACGCCATTCTTCTTATGATGTAGCGAGTACATCTGGATTTAAGGGAAGTGTTCCCAGTTCCGGCTGACCTAATCTATGCAGCCTAACATTGAATTATAGAAGTCTATAGTGTGTTATGTGTATGCTAGGCCAAAGAGGTGTTTTTAGTCTAGCTTTGAACTGACAGAGTGTGTCTGCTTCCCGGACAATGTTAGGAAGACTGTTCCAGAGTTTTGGTGCTGAATAGGAAAAGGATCTACCGCCTGCAGTCGATTTAGATATTCTAGGTATTATCAACTGGCCGGAGTTTCGAGAACGCAATAGACGTGACGGACTATAATGCGTTAAGAGCTCACTCAAGTACTGCGGAGCTAAACCATTTAGTGCTTTGTAGGTAATCAACAATATTTTAAAAATGTATAAGATGTTAAATAGGCAGCCAAATGCAGTGTTGACAGAAGCGGGCTGATATGGTCATATTTCCTGGTTCTGGTAAGAACTCGAGCTGCGGCGTTTTGAACTAGCTGTAGTTTGTTTATTAAGCGTGCAGGGCAACCACCCAGTAGAGCATTACAATAATCTAGTCTTGATGTCATGAACGCATGAACTAATTGTTCCGCATTTGTCAATGAGAGCATATGACTTAATTTAGATTTTTTTTTTTTAAGATGTAAAAATGCGGTTTTACAGATACTAGACACGTGACTTTCAAATGAAAGATTGGTATCAAAGAGCACACCCAGGTTCCTAACCGACGACGAGGACTTAACAGAGCAGCCATCAAGTGTTAGACAGTATTCTGGGTTATTACGTGTGGAAGTTTTTTGTCCAATAATTAGAATCTCTGTTTTTTTAGATTCGAGATCGGCCTGTAATTGACTAATATTCTAGGATCAAGTTGCGGTTTTTTAACAAGCGGTTTTATCATAGCCAGCTTAAAAGTTTTTGCTAGTATCCTAATGACAAAGATGAATTAATGATATTAAGAAGTCGGATCTATGACCTCTGGAAGCATCTCTTTCAGTAGCTTAGTCTGTATAGGGTCTAATATACATGTTGTCGATTTAGATGATTTAACGAGTTTAGTAAATTCTTCCTCTCCTATAGCAATGAATGAATCGAATTTTTCCTCATGGAGACTACAATGCACTGCCTGATGCGATACTGTAGTAGTCGGTTGCATAGTTATAATTTTATCCCTGATATTATCAATCTTATAAGTGAAGAAGTTCATAAAGTCATTACTGCTGTGTTGCTTGGACCCTTCTGGGCTTGAAGCTTTCTTTTTCGTTAGTTTAGCCACTGTTTCAAATAAATACCTACAGTAGGGTTGAGTTTATTTTCTTCTAATAGGGTTGAAAAATAAGCAGATCTAGCAGCTTTTAAGGCCTTTCTGCATGCAATCGTGCTCTCTTTCCATGAAATGCGAAAAATCTTCCTGTTGTGGTCCATTTCTTCTGCTCGTTGTACTATGGCGTTGGACTATTTTCTTTAAGCGCAACGGAGCAACTGCATCTAAAGTGCTGGATAAGAGAGAGTCAAAAGTTTCTGTTGCAATATCGAGTTCTTCTAAGCTATCCGGGATGCTGAGATGATGACACTGATCAGGAATATTATTAATAAAGCAATCTTTAGTGGCAGAAGTGATAGTTCTAACATATTTGTAACAGAGTCGTCTTTCCAGCCTTGGCTAAATGAAGTTTACACGAGAATCAGCAAATTCTTTGATAAAGTCTGTATGGTGCCCTGGTGGCCTGTATACAGTAGCCAGCGCAAATCTCAAACGTGATTTATCATTTACACTAGATAGTGTTACATTAAGCACCCAACATTTCAAAAGAATTATATTTAACAAGACTTCTCAGTAATTCTATATTACTATAAATTCAGCTTCAGCATCTTAGTTTGTAATGCATGCTGGGGTAAGTTGTAGCAATTAGACAAACAAAACAGAGGCCACATTATGCTATATGCTACAAAAATAGGTACATTGATCAATCCATATGAACAACCTAAAACACGCCTCTCTCTGTGACTGACCATAACTCAAATCCACATAGGCTACATTTACATTTAGTCATTTAGCAGACGCCTTTATCCAAAGCGACTTACAATTGAGAAATACTGCCAACATGTCAACATGAAGAGGCAAACAATGCAATAAGTCCTTAAAATGCAAAGTTTCTGACATTGCTCAGAGTAGCATAAGCCAGACAAGGGAGGGATTCATGGAAAAGGACGTTTTTTGGGGGGGGGGGGTTTAAGAGGTTAAGGGCTCACAGAAGAGATGAGTTTTCAGCTGTCTTTTGATTGTGGTCAGGGATTCTGCATTCCGGATGAGGGTGGGGAGACCGTTCCTCCAGCAAGGAACCGTGAACGAGAATGTTCTAGAGAGTACTGTTAGACTCAGGAGTGTGTGTGTGTGTGTGTGTGTGTGTGTGTGTGTGTGTGTGTGTGTGTGTGTGTGTGTGTGTGTGTGTGTGTGTGTGTGTGTGTGTGTGTGTGTGTGTGTGTAAATGAGTCTACTAGAACAAACTTCCTTAATGAACACTCATATCAGAATCACAATGGTGACACATGAATGTTGTTAACTCTGGAGTGCAGGCTTGCTGGGCACAGAAACTGCATTGGACACATTTTACACACACTTCCCTTGGCTTAGTTGCCAAATGTCTCCATACACACAATTTCATTGTCTGAGGTCTCATAATCCTCATCACTGGCTTTTTTTCACAACTGATCTGTCTGTCCTGCCCTCTCCTAAAACCTCTCGATTTCTTTTTTTAAACACTGTCCGGCACACCTTTATCTGTCTTTCATTTCCATTATCCAGCCATTCTGTAAGATTATTACAAAGAAACTGTCCTGAGTTGTATGTAAGGGTAACACTTTATTTTAGAGTGTCATTGTTACACATGTTAGATGTGGTTACTGTAGTACTAACTATAAATTAGTCATGCATAATTATATGCAACTAACCCTAATCTAACCCTATAAGTACATGTAGTTAAGTATTATTACTCAGTATTTAAATGTATAATTACAGTGTAACACTGACATCTTAAAATAAAGTAACCAGGGATTGTTATAACGCTGTGTATAGTAACACAGCTAGTGTTTAGCTAGCTGTATTAGCATAATGGTTTGAATTTAAAATTAAAAGTTAAAAATGCATAACATTTGCCTGAAAAACTACAATTTAGTCTAATATAAGTTGTATGATTTTATCTGCAAAAGTTTAAGGACTAAACGAAATTTAGTTTTGGTCAAAAAAGTTATATTCTTACCTCAAAATCAGATTTTTCTTTATAAAATGACTGATGATTGATGGCGTTACAACTATACCCGGTCTCATAATGTTATTTATTGTGCTGCCTTTAATTTATGCATATTTAAATTAATAAAAAAACATTATTACAGTAATAAGTCATGTAATACTGTATCATGAGAATCATTATTGACAATCAGTTATTTTAGTAGTTTTTATTTATATTTTGAATGTAGCTTTTATTTTTGTATTTTCTGTTTAATTTTTAGTAATTTTGTAAAATGCTTTTGTCACTTTTTTAAATATTATTATTTTGGTTTATTTTATTTTTAATACAGTTTAATTAGTTTTTGTATCTATTTAAAGTTAGTAATTTTAGTGCTACAAATTAAACATTTATACATTTTGTTTAGTTTAAGTTTTTCGTCTAATATTTGTATTTTATTTTATTTCAGTTTTATTTCAATTAACAAATTTTTTTTTTTAACAATAATAACCTTGTTTAGAATAATGTACCTAAAAAATACATTCAAACTTATTTTAGAAGTAAAATAAAACTGTTAGAATAGGCTTAAGATTTCATTTCTTTCAATTTTGAGGAGAATTATGAATATTTTTGAGAGTTTAACAGTTATACTCTGCAACAGCACATATTATTCAGTATTGTTCTCATGTGTTGTGTTACATTAGAGATTATTTCTGTGGTAAAACTGATGAAATACAAATAATCAAAGAGAATATTTTCTCTGATCTGGGACAATGAAAAATGATCATATCCTATAAGGAATAACGAAGTTTAATAAGTAAAAGATACATTTATAGCAATAATCCATAAATGATGATTACAAAATAAAGAATAATAAAATAATCAACAAAAGTGATGAAAGTTGTAAGAGTAAATAAAAAGAAATCAGAAAATAATCTTTCCTTGATCTGAATAATGACTCTGGAGCTGCTTTATAGCTGAATTGACCTATAAATATTCTTTGAACATGTATTGTTTGGCATAAACTACAGAGTAATCCACTCGGTCAAGGCTAGTTTAATATTTGACCAGTAAAGGAATGTTATCAACACAGGGCTGGTGCGTTCATTCCTCCTCGTGTGCCTGATCTCGTCATGGACAACTTAATCAGAACTTAATATGAGGATTTGTTTCTGTTTTTAGAGGCACTTCTGATGTGAGATTATGATAATCACAGTTTTGGTGTATATCAGTTCAAGCACAACCTGTATGATCTGTATTTCCATGATGCAATGTGTGTTGTAGAGACCTGCCCTGAGCCAAAGGGCAAAACCTGAAGAGGCTTCTGCAGGATTTAACATCAGGTGTGAGACAAATGTGCTCTGTTATCCAGGCATAAAAATAACGGTTTATGCAACATTAAACAACTGCAGAATGAAACAGGGGCTTGAATCCAACACAAACTGACAGATCTCTGATTTTATATCATGGAAAATATGTGGGAAAACACGTTTGACTGCTTTTCTTTTCACGTTGACAACTAGACAATGAGCAAAAGGAATAGTGTGTGTGTGTGTGTGTGTGTGTGAACATGAGCACTTATGTTTTGCCATTTCATGATGAACGTTCTCATTGACATTCACGCTCTCCCCTCAGAGCAACATTTCTTCAGTTAATAATTAATGACCTCTGATAACCTCTGCAAGTGGCCTGCATGTTTAATGTTTTCCGCGTATAATTGTCCAGGGCGAGGAAAGAAGCTGAGCTGGAGAAGCGCTTCTCTGGGCTGAGTCTCGAGCCGGAGCAGGTCGTGTTGGCGGATCAGCTGAAGGCCAGAGAGGAACAGAGAAGAGCAGACGAGGAACTCAAGGTACTGCCGTCACACACACACACTCACGCGTTCTGCCCTGGTCTCAGTGTGTGTGTGTGTGTGTGTGTGTGTGTCAGGAGGAGAGGCGTAAGGCTGAGGAGGATCTGAGGAGGCTGGAGCAGGAGAGAAAACAGCAGATCTACATCAGCCTGAAGGAGAAGAAGCAGCAAGAACACACACACGACCAGCAGGACAACCACTGGCAGCAGACATGTAAACAACACACACTCACTCTGCCCTCAGTTACTGATCACAACCACTTATCAAATATCTAATCTAAAGGGTTCATATGGTTCATCTCACAAAAAAGTCATATATCACCCCAAAAACCACAAGGAAAAAATAATAAACCTAATAAAGAAAATTAAGAGTTTTTTGGGGGGAATTTCCATCAAAATTCTTGTTATTTTAAAGTGCCCCGATTATGCTATTTTACAGTTTCCTAATGTTGTCTCCTACAACAGGTTTACATGCATCAAAGGTCAAAAAACTGTTTAATTTCTTCATAATATAGCCTACATTTGCACATCATCACATTTTCAATGATTCTCAAACGACTCGTCAGATGAATCAATCTCTAAATCCCTCCTTTCCGCGAGCTACTTTGCCAGCCAGACAGCTCAGTCTGTTGTGATTGGTCTACTCTGCTCTGATTGGCCAGACAGCTCAGTCTGTTGTGATTGGTCTACTCTGCTCTGATTGGCCAGACAGCTCGGTCTGTTGTGATTGATCTACTCTGCTCTGATTGGTCAGACAGCTCAGTCTGTTGTGATTGGTCTACTCTGCTCTGATTGGTCAGACAGCTCAGTCTGTTGTGATTGGTCTACTCTGCTCTGATTGGCCAGACAGCTCAGTCTGTTGTGATTGGTCTACTCTGCTCTGATTGGTCAGACAGCCCAGTCTGTTGTGATTGGTCTACTCTGCTCTGATTGGCCAGACAGCTCAGTCTGTTGTGATTGGTCTACTCTGCTCTGATTGGTCAGACAGCTCAGTCTGTTGTGATTGGTCTACTCTGCTCTGATTGGCCAGACAGCTCAGTCTGTTGTGATTGGTCTACTCTGCTCTGATTGGCCAGACAGCTCAGTCTGTTGTGATTGGTCTACTCTGCTCTGATTGGTCAGACAGCTCAGTCTGTTGTGATTGGTCTACTCTGCTCTGATTGGCCAGACAGCTCAGTCTGTTGTGATTGGTCTACTCTGCTCTGATTGGTCAGACAGCTCAGTCTGTTGTGATTGGTCTACCCTGCTCTGATTGGTCAGACAGCTCAGTCTGTTGTGATTGGTCTACTCTGCTCTGATTGGCCAGACAGCTCAGTCTGTTGTGATTGGTCTACTCTGCTCTGATTGGTCAGACAGCTCAGTCTGTTGTGATTGGTCTACTCTGCTCTGATTGGCCAGACAGCTCAGTCTGTTGTGATTGGTCTACTCTGCTCTGATTGGCCAGACAGCTCAGTCTGTTGTGATTGGTCTACTCTGCTCTGATTGGCCAGACAGCTCAGTCTGCTGTGATTGGTCTACTCTGCTCTGATTGGTCAGACAGCTCAGTCTGTTGTGATTGGTCTACTCTGCTCTGATTGGCCAGACAGCTCAGTCTGTTGTGATTGGTCTACTCTGCTCTGATTGGCCAGACAGCTCAGTCTGTTGTGATTGGTCTACTCTGCTCTGATTGGTCAGACAGCTCAGTCTGTTGTGATTGGTCTACTCTGCTCTGATTGGCCAGACAGCTCAGTCTGTTGTGATTGGTCTACTCTGCTCTGATTGGCCAGACAGCTCAGTCTGTTGTGATTGGTCTACTCTGCTCTGATTGGTCAGACAGCTCAGTCTGTTGTGATTGGTCTACTCTGCTCTGATTGGCCAGACAGCTCAGTCTGTTGTGATTGGTCTACTCTGCTCTGATTGGCCAGACAGCTCGGTCTGTTGTGATTGGTCTACTCTGCTCTGATTGGCCAGACAGCTCAGTCTGTTGTGATTGGTCTACTCTGCTCTGATTGGCCAGACAGCTCAGTCTGTTGTGATTGGTCTACTCTGCTCTGATTGGTCAGACAGCTCAGTCTGTTGTGATTGGTCTACTCTGCTCTGATTGGTCAGACAGCTCAGTCTGTTGTGATTGGTCTACTCTGCTCTGATTGGCCAGACAGCTCAGTCTGTTGTGATTGGTCTACTCTGCTCTGATTGGCCAGACAGCTCAGTCTGTTGTGATTGGTCTACTCTGCTCTGATTGGCCAGACAGCTCAGTCTGTTGTGATTGGTCTACTCTGCTCTGATTGGCCAGACAGCTCAGTCTGTTGTGATTGGTCTACTCTGCTCTGATTGGCCAGACAGCTCAGTCTGTTGTGATTGGTCTACTCTGCTCTGATTGGCCAGACAGCTCAGTCTGTTGTGATTGGTCTACTCTGCTCTGATTGGCCAGACAGCTCAGTCTGTTGTGATTGGTCTACTCTGCTCTGATTGGCCAGACAGCTCAGTCTGTTGTGATTGATCTACTCTGCTCTGATTGGCCAGACAGCTCAGTCTGTTGTGATTGGTCTACTCTGCTCTGATTGGTCAGACAGCTCAGTCTGTTGTGATTGGTCTACTCTGCTCTGATTGGCCAGACAGCTCAGTCTGTTGTGATTGGTCTACTCTGCTCTGATTGGCCAGACAGCTCAGTCTGTTGTGATTGGTCTACTCTGCTCTGATTGGCCAGACAGCTCAGTCTGTTGTGATTGATCTACTCTGCTCTGATTGGCCAGACAGCTCAGTCTGTTGTGATTGGTCTACTCTGCTCTGATTGGCCAGACAGCTCAGTCTGTTGTGATTGGTCTACTCTGCTCTGATTGGCCAGACAGCTCAGTCTGTTGTGATTGGTCTACTCTGCTCTGATTGGTCAGACAGCTCAGTCTGTTGTGATTGGTCTACTCTGCTCTGATTGGCCAGACAGCTCAGTCTGTTGTGATTGATCTACTCTGCTCTGATTGGCCAGACAGCTCAGTCTGTTGTGATTGGTCTACTCTGCTCTGATTGGTCAGACAGCTCGGTCTGTAGTGATTGGTCTACTCTGCTCTGATTGGTCAGACAGCTCGGTCTGTTGTGATTGGTCTACTCTGCTCTGATTGGCCAGACAGCTCGGTCTGTTGTGATTGATCTACTCTGCTCTGATTGGCCAGACAGCTCGGTCTGTTGTGATTGGTCTACTCTGCTCTGATTGGCCAGACAGCTCAGTCTGTTGTGATTGGTCTACTCTGCTCTGATTGGCCAGACAGCTCAGTCTGTTGTGATTGGTCTACTCTGCTCTGATTGGTCAGACAGCTCAGTCTGTTGTGATTGGTCTACTCTGCTCTGATTGGTCAGACAGCTCAGTCTGTTGTGATTGGTCTACTCTGCTCTGATTGGCCAGACAGCTCAGTCTGTTGTGATTGGTCTACTCTGCTCTGATTGGCCAGACAGCTCAGTCTGTTGTGATTGGTCTACTCTGCTCTGATTGGCCAGACAGCTCAGTCTGTTGTGATTGGTCTACTCTGCTCTGATTGGCCAGACAGCTCAGTCTGTTGTGATTGGTCTACTCTGCTCTGATTGGTCAGACAGCTCAGTCTGTTGTGATTGGTCTACTCTGCTCTGATTGGTCAGACAGCTCAGTCTGTTGTGATTGGTCTACTCTGCTCTGATTGGTCAGACAGCTCAGTCTGTTGTGATTGGTCTACTCTGCTCTGATTGGCCAGACAGCTCAGTCTGTTGTGATTGGTCTACTCTGCTCTGATTGGTCAGACAGCTCAGTCTGTTGTGATTGGTCTACTCTGCTCTGATTGGCCAGACAGCTCAGTCTGTTGTGATTGGTCTACTCTGCTCTGATTGGTCAGACAGCTCAGTCTGTTGTGATTGGTCTACTCTGCTCTGATTGGCCAGACAGCTCAGTCTGTTGTGATTGGTCTACTCTGCTCTGATTGGTCAGACAGCTCAGTCTGTTGTGATTGATCTACTCTGCTCTGATTGGCCAGACAGCTCGGTCTGTTGTGATTGGTCTACTCTGCTCTGATTGGCCAGACAGCTCAGTCTGTTGTGATTGGTCTACTCTGCTCTGATTGGCCAGACAGCTCAGTCTGTTGTGATTGGTCTACTCTGCTCTGATTGGTCAGACAGCTCAGTCTGTTGTGATTGGTCTACTCTGCTCTGATTGGTCAGACAGCTCAGTCTGTTGTGATTGGTCTACTCTGCTCTGATTGGTCAGACAGCTCAGTCTGTTGTGATTGGTCTACTCTGCTCTGATTGGCCAGACAGCTCAGTCTGTTGTGATTGGTCTACTCTGCTCTGATTGGCCAGACAGCTCAGTCTGTTGTGATTGGTCTACTCTGCTCTGATTGGCCAGACAGCTCAGTCTGTTGTGATTGGTCTACTCTGCTCTGATTGGTCAGACAGCTCAGTCTGTTGTGATTGGTCTACTCTGCTCTGATTGGCCAGACAGCTCAGTCTGTTGTGATTGATCTACTCTGCTCTGATTGGCCAGACAGCTCAGTCTGTTGTGATTGGTCTACTCTGCTCTGATTGGCCAGACAGCTCAGTCTGTTATGATTGGTCTACTCTGCTCTGATTGGTCAGACAGCTCAGTCTGTTGTGATTGGTCTACTCTGCTCTGATTGGCCAGACAGCTCGGTCTGTTGTGATTGATCTACTCTGCTCTGATTGGCCAGACAGCTCGGTCTGTTGTGATTGGTCTACTCTGCTCTGATTGGCCAGACAGCTCAGTCTGTTGTGATTGGTCTACTCTGCTCTGATTGGCCAGACAGCTCAGTCTGTTGTGATTGGTCTACTCTGCTCTGATTGGCCAGACAGCTCAGTCTGTTGTGATTGGTCTACTCTGCTCTGATTGGCCAGACAGCTCAGTCTGTTGTGATTGGTCTACTCTGCTCTGATTGGCCAGACAGCTCGATCTGTTGTGATTGGTCTACTCTGCTCTGATTGGCCAGACAGCTCAGTCTGTTGTGATTGGTCTACTCTGCTCTGATTGGTCAGACAGCTCAGTCTGTTGTGATTGATCTACTCTGCTCTGATTGGCCAGACAGCTCAGTCTGTTGTGATTGATCTACTCTGCTCTGATTGGCTAGACAGCTCAGTCTGTTGTGATTGGTCTACTCTGCTCTGATTGGCCAGACAGCTCAGTCTGTTGTGATTGGTCTACTCTGCTCTGATTGGCCAGACAGCTCGATCTGTTGTGATTGGTCTACTCTGCTCTGATTGGCCAGACAGCTCAGTCTGTTGTGATTGGTCTACTCTGCTCTGATTGGCCAGACAGCTCAGTCTGTTGTGATTGATCTACTCTGCTCTGATTGGCCAGACACCTCAGTCTGTTGTGATTGATCTACTCTGCTCTGATTGGTCAGACAGCTCAGTCTGTTGTGATTGGTCTACTCTGCTCTGATTGGTCAGACAGCTCAGTCTGTTGTGATTGGTCTACTCTGCTCTGATTGGCCAGACAGCTCAGTCTGTTGTGATTGGTCTGCTCTGCTCTGATTGGCCAGACAGCTCAGTCTGTTGTGATTGGTCTACCCTGCTCTGATTGGTCAGACAGCTCAGTCTGTTGTGATTGGTCTACTCTGCTCTGATTGGCCAGACAGCTCAGTCTGTTGTGATTGGTCTACTCTGCTCTGATTGGCGAGACAGCTCAGTCTGTTGTGATTGGTCTACTCTGCTCTGATTGGTCAGATGACCCAGTCTGTTGTGATTGGTCTACTCTGCTCTGATTGGCCAGACAGCTCAGTCTGTTGTGATTGGTCTACTCTGCTCTGATTGGTCAGACAGCTCAGTCTGTTGTGATTGGTCTACTCTGCTCTGATTGGTCAGATGACCCAGTCTGTTGTGATTGGTCTACTCTGCTCTGATTGGCCAGACAGCTCAGTCTGTTATGATTGGTCTCTGCTCTGATTGGCCAGACAGCTCAGTCTGTTATGATTGGTCTCTGCTCTGATTGGCCAGACAGCTTGGCCTGAGGCTTCCTAAACCGTAAACTAAACACAGTAACGAAAAATGATGTCGATTTGACCATATCAATCGCGCGAGTGCGATGATGAAACACTGGAAGAGCTCGTTATTCACCCGAACCTCCATCGCAAGGACGACTCGAGCAGCACTCAGTGCTTCTCAGTGATACACTACTCAGTTTGAGGGACATTATGAGATGTTGCAACTGTAATTCCTCACCATCAGCATTAACAAGTGCATGTCCATCAACAAACCGATTATTTTACTTGTAGTTATTTATTTACAGAGTATTTTTCTAATTTATTGCGGTGCTATTAGTTAGCTATTGTTAGGCTGCTGTCACTTTAAGACCAAACGTACATGATCCATTATACTGATACACAGCTGTTTACATGATTACTCCACACGAAATGCATTTTGACATTATTGCGTGTGTATTTGACTGTTCAAGCGCAGTAAGACGCGCAATTATGCTGAGTTCTTCTTCACTGCTTATTGTGCTTACTAACACTTTTATCATCGAGCAATTGTGCCAAATTCATATATGTATACAGTAAATACAAATACTGATGCATTATTGCTTTATTCTGCTTTACAGTAAACATATTTGAATTTAAAAATCATCATGGAGAATAATGAGAATAGCTACGGTTTATTTGGGGTGAGGTTGGTGACAGTGACACATGACAGTTGTAGTCTGAATAGGGAAGTTTTGTTCTCTACGGTTGTGTTTGTGTTATTTTCTCATACATGTACAGTAGGACTAACAGTGTGATTTTGCATATGTGGTTCCAGTGCAGAAGTCAAAAGCCGCAGACGTGCGTAGACGGTCTCTAGCCAAGCAGACGATGGAGGATCACCGCAGGCGCTCAGTGAAAGCTCTGGAGAGAGGACGTGTAGCGGCCGTCACAAAGGCCTTCGCCAGCCCAAACCCAGACCCTCCACCGAAACCCAAACCCAGAAACACCAGCGCTGCCATCAGCCGGTGAGTCCCACAGCCAGTGTCCTTCATCTCTGACTGTGACAATAACTCAACAATAATTACATAATTAAAAAGAAGAGCTGGTGGTTTGAAAGTCATGGTGAGCATGTTTGCATAACAAAGTTTGTTTATGTAGTACTCCCTTTAGTAATAAATGAGAGTGAGAGAGACAAAACTGTGTGTTATTCCAGTGGTCCTCTCTGTATTGTTGTTTGAGGATGTGCCACAGTCGTCATGGCAACTCTCAAATCCCAACTGCCACTCAGAATTCAGAAAATGCAACTGAACTATTCAGTGCAAATTCATTATAATTAAAGTAATTTAAATAAAACATATATATACTGTAAATAAATTGAAATAGACAAAATAAAATATATACAAATACTTAAATATTTTTGTGACCCAAATATACAGGGATTATTCAATATTACATTGGATTATTCCTGCATTCATGTAATCAGCATATTCCACATGAACTGTGAAGAGCTGCGTGTCTTTTACCTGCTGTTCTCTTGTGGAAATACTGGAAATGCTTGCTCTTGACAGTTATTATAGTTCAGTTGTTGTAATTGCACTGTAATTAAACCGTATTCCTGCTCATTCATGAGACTCTTATGGTGCTGTAGCCTGTCTGTATTGATTTATGCTCATTTTGTTTAAATGGTTAGTTCTGTTATTAATTACTCGCCCTCACTTCATCTTCGGAACACAAATGAAGATCTTGATGAAATATGAGAGCATTCTGTCCCTGCATTGACAGCTACGCAACTTCCACTTTCAAGCCCTGAAAGGTAGTAAAGACTTCATTTAAGTAATCCATGACACCAGTGACACCATAACACCATAACCTCAGTTTTATGAAGTGATGCGAGTGCTTTGTTTGCGCAAACAAACATAATTTACCACTTTATTTACAAAAATATGAATCTCCAACGCATGTTCACGCAACCACGTCTGCTCCCGCGTCAACACACCGTGGTAGTTGCGTGGCTGTCAAAAGAGGGACAGAAATCGTTCAGATTTCACATTGAAAAGATCGTCATTTGTGTTCCGAAGATGAACGAAAGTGAATGAATGAAACGAGGGTGAGTAAATGATGATCATTTTTGGGTGAATTAACCCTTTAATGGTTGCATGGAATCGTCCTCCTCCTCAAAAATAATACTGTTCGGTGTCTTTTATCAACAGCCACATTCATTTGGAACCCAAAAATATGACATTATATCAATATCTGGGCTATGTTGTCGTGATGATATAGCAATTATTTATGTCTAGGAAACACATTCACATCAAATGTTTGTGGTGCAGTAATATTTTTTTGAAAATTTGGAAGAAGTCTCTTCTGCTCACCAAGGCTGCATTTATTTGATCAAAAATACAGTAAAAACAGTGAAATATTATTATAATTTAAAATAACTGTTGTCTATGTGAATAAATATAGTAGTGTAATGTAGTGATGGGGACGAGACCGCCTATGCCGAGTCCGAGTCGAGACCGAGTCTTTGAAGGGTCGAGTCCGAGTCAAGACCGAGTCTTTGAAGGGTCGAGTCCGAGTCAAGACCGAGTCTTTGAAGGGTCGAGTCCGAGTCAAGACCGAGTCTTTAAAGGGTCGAGTCCGAGTCAAGACCGAGTCTTTGAAGGGTCGAGTCCGAGTCAAGACCGAGTCCATTGGTTTTCAAATACAGTCGAGTCCGAGTCAAGACCGAGTCTTTGAAGGGTCGAGTCCGAGTCAAGACCGAGTCTTTGAAGGGTCGAGTCCGAGTCAAGACCGAGTCTTTAAAGGGTCGAGTCCGAGTCAAGACCGAGTCTTTGAAGGGTCGAGTCCGAGTCAAGACCGAGTCTTTGAAGGGTCGAGTCCGAGTCAAGACCGAGTCCATTGGTTTTCAAATACAGTCGAGTCCGAGTCAAGACCGAGTCTTTGAAGGGTCGAGTCCGAGTCAAGACCGAGTCCATTGGTTTTCAAATACAGTCGAGTCCGAGTCAAGACCGAGTCTTTGAAGGGTCGAGTCCGAGTCAAGACCGAGTCCATTGGTTTTCAAATACAGTCGAGTCCGAGTCAAGACCGAGTCTTTGAAGGGTCGAGTCCGAGTCAAGACCGAGTCCATTGGTTTTCAAATACAGTCGCGGCCGAGTCAAGACCGAGTCTTTGAAGGGTCGAGTCCGAGTCAAGACCGAGTCTTTGAGGAAGCAAGTCCGAGTCGAGATTTTGTCTCGACATGTCAGTTTTGATATTCATGATTTAATATCAACCCAGTTAATAATCAACAGTTAGGCCTACAGACTAAGCTAGACTGGTAATTGTTTAGAGGACCAGTCTTAACTAGTGATGGGGACGAGACCGCCTATGCCGAGTCCGAGTCGAGACCGAGTCTTTGAAGGGTCGAGTCCGAGTCAAGACCGAGTCTTTGAAGGGTCGAGTCCGAGTCAAGACCGAGTCTTCGAAGGGTCGAGTCCGAGTCAAGACCGAGTCTTTTAAGGGTCGAGTCCGAGTCAAGACCGAGTCTTTGAAGGGTCGAGTCCGAGTCGAGACCGAGTCTTCGAAGGGTCGAGTCCGAGTCGAGACCGAGTCTTCGAAGGGTCGAGTCCGAGTCGAGACCGAGTCTTCGAAGGGTCGAGTCCGAGTCGAGACCGAGTCTTCGAAGGGTCGAGTCCGAGTCGAGACCGAGTCTTCGAAGGGTCGAGTCCGAGTCAAGACCGAGTCTTTGAAGGGTCGAGTCCGAGTCGAGACCGAGTCTTTGAAGGAACAAGTCCGAGACAAGTCCGAGAAAGCAGAAATCGGTCTCGAGACCGGACTCGAGTACTACATCACTAGTGTAATGTATTTCTGTGATCAAAGCTGAGTTTTCAGCATCATTACTCCAGTCTTCAGTGTCACATGATCCTTCAGAAATCACTCTAATATGATTATTTGATGATCAAAAAACATTTATAATTATTATCAATGTTGAAAACCTGCTATCTGTTTAATAATCAGTAATGTAAGTACATGCGGAGACCTTGACTCATTCCACAACTGCAATGCCACCTGTCTTGTGCTATTAATAGTGATATATTGTACGTCATGTCTTCATTCATCAGTCATACTCATCTCAGGAATGTCATACTGCAGACTGTACATATTTACAGGAATTTCCCCTCAACACATCTGAACAACACAATAGCTCACAATCTGAGCTACTCATAGAGCTCAATGTCTACTGTACGACCCGTGTAGAGCTCAGTGTCTTAGCCTGGGTAAATATCTTTCCCACCGCTTCAGTTGCTGGGGTTGTGATGATCCAGGATTGGACAGGGATGTGATGAATGTGTCTTCTGTTGTGGTTGGCAGGAAGGCTGGTATGCGGCGCTCGTTTTCGACGACTAGTCGAGATCATATCGTCCGCTGGTTTCGGGAGGAGCAGTTCCCCCTCAGAGCAGGATTCCAGCGCGACCACAGCCGGATCGCCCGCTGGTTTCACGGTGAGATACAGCTGTTCATCTGGACCCGCTCCAGTCCTCTCTCTTCAGACACACCTGGCAGACCCAGACCCGGACCCAGCAAGCTCCTGTTCTGGGGGAGCTGGGCTTTACTGCTGACTCTGACTAGCTTAGCTGGGGTTTAAAAGACATTTCATATTCATCGATCTGATCTGACTGCAGTGACACTATTGGATGAGAATAAAACCTGAATTGAACAGAGCTGAATGAGCTCGTTTGGTCAAACCACAAACCTCAAAGCTTCTGCACTGCCACTCTGAGCTCGATTGCTATGTCTGAGGTACAACACGCCCCCTCATTAGCATACAGAGCAAGAAATGTAGACATAAATAAATGGAGACATAAATAAATGCATATATAGGCCTACATAAATAAATGTGGAAATAAATAATGCATAAATAAATAAATGAAAAATAAATAAATCTGGGAAAAAATACAATTATACATAAATAAGGAAATAAAAGTATAAATATTGTTGTTTCTTTACATTTCTTCGTGTATTTATTTATAAATTCGGCGCACAGATAGACAATCTGAACTTTAACTACAGCAATTTTGGTCTAATTCAATCACTCTAGCACCACCAACTGTCCAAATTTGCCTCGTTTATGCTAATAACTTCAGTGGCTCAAAACGATTCGATTGACATCAGCCATTTCGCATTTTTGTAAAAACATACTTTTTCAAACTCGTCCTTGGAGGTTTGTCTGATTTTCACCAAAATTGGCTCAGATCATCTTTAGACCTTACTGGCAAACAGTTGTGAAAAAGCTTTTTAATAGACCAAACTGTTCTCGAATAATGTGCTAATGAATTTAATGAACAGCAGGGCAAAATGAATGTGTGACTGGCTGTATCTCCCCAACGCTTTAGTGTATTCAGACCAAACTTGGTACATGTCATCACAAGCATGACCTGAGGCTACATGCTGCGTTTCGGCACAGCGCCACCTACTGGTCAGGAGAAATGAAAAATAGCCTTTTTTTGTTTATAACCTCTGAAATTGTAAAACTGGTCTCTTGATTCAGTCAAAAGTTATAATGAAATTTGAAAAAATATTCATAGCTTTTGATTAATTTTGCTGGTCTGAAACTGGTCTGGTAGATTCCTTGAGTCATATTGAGAATAATGTAGAGAATAACTGTTCCTAGACTGTTGATCTGATATTTACCAAAATCAGCTCAAATCATCGTGAGACCAAACCATTGTGGAATAACGCATCAGCGAAACTGATGGCTTGATGCCTAGCTGATTCTGAGGCTGTATCTCTGCACTGCTTTGGCCTCTTCACACTGCCCATACAACATCCATTTAGTAACAGCGCCACCTATTGGTCAAAAGTGATAAGCAAGTAAAATCCTATCACGTGATTGTATTTGTGATTTGTCAGCCGCTTTGCCTAAAATAAGTGTTGCAGTTGATCTGACTCTTCCGTCCATGCTTGCATAAAAAAAATCATTTAGATTTGTGTTGTGCTTGGCCCCTTAATTGCAGCTTGCAGCGATATTTGTCACTGTGAAGCTGCTTTAAAACATTTTAGCAACATTTTTCCCCAAAAAGAAAAATCAACGACTGCGTCTTTCCTGTTAAAATGAGTGAGTGGTCACTGTAAAGTGAATGTCCCTGTGGTGTGCACTGCATCGACACCGAACGCTGCTGGCTTTCCTGTAATGTGCATCATCTCATATCCCCTCAGGTATAATATCTCGTGAACAGGCGGAGGCGCTGCTGAAGGACGGCGGGCCCGGGCTCTTCCTGGTGCGTGTTAGCGAGAGGATATTTGGATATGTGCTCTCCTACCGATCGAAAGAGGAAGTCAAGCACCTGCTGATCGACGCCTCGGAGAACTGCTACATGCTCCTGGGGGACCAGATCAGATTCACATCCCTCAGTGAACTCGTGGAGTATCATCAGGTGACGTACTGCGCACACCACTCGGGGTAAACTGGGCCGAGGTCTAGATTCCTAGATCAGGCTGTGAGGGACAGAAGCACAGTGCGTTCAATGCATTGTACTGTTGTTTAGCAACATGCCAGTTGTCCAAAAAAACTCCATAAAACAGTTCTGAAAGTTACAAGTGATGTCTTTATACAGTGCTTGTGGTTTTAAACATCATAAGTCTCTCTCACAAGCTTGTGTAAAATTCAATATAGTGTCCTGATATTGGTGTCTAATGTGTGCCACAATATAAAATCAGCCTTAAAGTCTTCAAATGTGTGGCCAGCAGTCTGTGTATGACTCATGTTGCATTGAAATGATTATAGTTATTTTAGAGAACAAATCATTTCATTCTAAATGTAATGCTCACACTCCTATTGAATTGATGTTTTTTAATGTACAGTATAAATGAGATGCTTCTCCCCTCAGTGTGATTGTTAACATGGTGATAATGAGCACAGAGACGGATTGGCATCTCACGCCTGCTAACAGGAAACATGTGCGTTCACATGCATGCCAGTCATAGGCGGAGAGTCATCGGGTTTAAATAGACGGGCCGCCGAGTGCATTCCTTACACCAGAAACAAAGGAAAGGAACGTCACAATACAGCGTATTGATTCACATATTAGTTCTCACGCCACATTGGTTATTGATGCAGTGCTTCAGTGTTGGGGTCAGTGTGCAGCTCAGCCAAGCCGTGTGTAACTGTGTTTTCTGGCACCAGGTGGAGCCGCTGAGCTCGTGTGGAGAAGAGGAGTTTCTGCTGCAGGCGTGCGGACAGAGCGAGGCCACAGCGGACTATACCGAGCTCTTCACCTGACACACACACACACACACACACACACACGTGCGGACAGAGCGAGGCCACAGCGGACTATACCGAGCTCTTCACCTGACACACACACACACACACACACACACACACACACACACGTGCGGACAGAGTGAGGCCACAGCGGACTATACCGAGCTCTTCACCTGACACACACACACACACACACACACACGTGCGGACAGAGTGAGGCCACAGCGGACTATACCGAGCTCTTCACCTGACACACACACACACACGTGCGGACAGAGCGAGGCCACAGCGGACTATACCGAGCTCTTCACCTGACACACACACACACACACACACACACACACACGTGCGGACCGAGCGAGGCCACAGCGGACTATACCGAGCTCTTCACCTGACACACACACACACACACACACTACTCTCACATCAATCAGAACAACACACAATCATGACTCTCATTACAGTCAGTTTCACAATTCATAAACACCCCGTTTTAAAAGTATTGAATTTAACTGAAAAGTATAAATCCGCAATTTTCCATCTACATATATGCGCCTGTTCCTTCGTGTAGAACAGAGTTTTCCACTTCAGAAACGGATCTGATGTTGATGATTACTAAATGCACTCTTCACTTCTCCTGGACTAACTGTAGCTGGCCCAGTGTAACCGACTGTCACGGGTGTGCCGGGAATAATGGCGAAATCATAACTCTGATGGAACATGAACAGTTTATTCTTTTTATTCACAACAGATGTTTAAAACATATTTTTGGAACTGTGCAGTTTTTTTCCCTCCGACACTTTATAATAAAAATGTTTGGCTGCGATATGAACACATTTACGACAGTAAATTCAACAGTTTTCCTGTGCAAAAGCAGCACATTTAGTTTTGCGCTTGTGAAGTGAGTGGAAACATTATGAAGGAAACCATAAAAAAACTCCCTCTCTTAACAAGAACACTGGTATTGGATTTGTTTTAGGGTTTGACTATGCTGTTCATTTTATACTCTGAAATGCAAGTTCAAATATAGAAAGGTTACAATGTCACTTCAATTTAATTGTTTAAAAACACACAAGAGACAAGACAGAAAAGTGACTCAAGATTTGGAATCTCACAAAATGTGCAAATTTAAGCTTCCCTTATTGTTGTGCACATACTTCATAAAGTGACATAACCTCACCCAGAATGCATCAGTACGCTCAGATTCAGCTGGAGAATGACACAAAGACAGTCATCAGGAAATGTGCGCTGTAACCCAGTCTAGAGACTGAAGTTTCCCTTTATGTATCCATTAATCACACAGGTTATATTTCAGTACACAACACTGTCACAGTGAGGCCCGGGGCAGAGCTGCGAGATCACATGACTTCATCTCGCTCTCGGTTGGAAGCAACAGTGATGTTAGGCAGAACCCACTGGCGTTCAGTACACATCATCTGCTCATCAACTCCGCACTCAACTAAACCGCTTCAATCTCGATGCAATCATGACGATTATTGTGATTTTAAAGAAAAATACTTTTTTTTTTTTAAAGATCAAATCCCTGTTGAAACAGCTTGTCTTGAGCTAGGAAGAGCAGTTATGACAGATCTTTAACTTTTTTTAAATGTCAAAACTTCGATGTTTGGTGCCTTCGGGTGAGTTTCTTGAGATGGAAATCACGTGTACTTGTTTAGTAGGTTAAGGCTTCCAGCACCCTGGCCTCCTGTGGGCGCTGGAGCGCGTCACATGAAGAACTGTCCGAGCAGGTTGGCCCCCCCGAGGAGGATGAGGAGGCCGTGGAAGAGCGCCGAGGGCCAGCGCAGCTCTCCTCTGCGTCTCAGAGACACCATGTGGACCAGAGAGGGGAGCACGAACACCAGAGCCAGGCCACAGATGGCCCCCGAGTACCTGACGGCAAACACAGCAGTTTAACACCACGCGCCGGCGCCACACTGGTCCTGGAGCTAACACGGCACTGCTCTCTCACCTGATGATGGAGCCAATGTTGGGGTAGAACCGGGCCGTCACGACTCCAGCTCCGACAACCACCACGTTCAGCACAAACACATGGAGGAAACTAGCAATGGAGAAACAAGGGATTGACGCAATCATGAAGACGGGCTAATCTTTAAGACCATTCTTGTATATTCTGCTCATAATATATGATTTCCAAGCATTGCGTATGATCATTTTCATGGGGTTTTGTAATTGTTAATGAGTGAGGCTGTGGCTTAACCGTTTTACAAATGTGATGTTTGCGATCAGTGGCAGACAGTCAAACTCACACTCACAACCCATCTTTCAACTTGGACAAATGTCACATGACGTCATGAATAGTTATGAGACAGCACCTTCTTAAAGGATTAGGCCACTCAGTCTCAAATTAATAACTCATTTTGCTCTTAAAAATAAGAGCAAAAAATAATAACAGATCCTAATTTTGTTCGATAATCTGCAAACGCATCTCAAAAATGTGTGTTTCATTACCCTTTACATTAGGTGTGCGGATGGTTTTAAATGTTACTTTATACAAAGACGGTCCACAATGAATGGGAGAAAGGGCAATGTACAGTATGGCAGAATAAGTCCTACCTTCTAAATAAAAGAAGGTAACTTATAAAGGCTGCGTCTGAGATCACACACTTCCCCGCTATATAGCAAGTATGTACTCATCAAAGAGTAGGAGGAAGCCCCCGGACGACCTTCTGAAGTACACGATGGACACTATCCCATGAGGCCACGGGAGAGGATTGTGAATGGCAGTGAAGCGACGTAACTGACACTGATGGATCACATGATAATGACATCATGGTGCGTCCAGATTACATTGATACTATAGAACAGCATTGGCTGCTCTAGCCTGAAGAATAAGCTTTTTTAATGCTATTTGAGCATAAGGCACTACATTTATGCGTCAGCTCATGACAGATTTCGTTGCTGATTTGAAAGATGTCGTTTAATTGTGAGACAGGACTTGGTCTTGATGCCTGAAAGACGTCTCTAATATGACCGGCGACTCGACAGACTTTGCTTTATAACAGTTATTTGTTAAAGCCTGCTTGTTTACTGTTCAAGAAAGTGGAAAAGTGGACCTTTTGACAATATTTTATATACATATAATGATATTTATGTATGCGCTCTGTCAAGTATGATTGTTGTTCTACACTTATTTCATTCAGAGGAGCAACATTTCATCCAAACAGCCATGAAGACTGGATGGGAAGCTCATGTGTGTTTCAGTGGACGTGTCATGCAGCTTTAGGGAAGGCAGAAGCAACACTTGTGATCATTTCACAATTATTTGCCGTTTCGAAGCGATTGAAACTTGCTGAGGACATCTACTGGCTATTTGTTCAAACACTTGTTCCGCAAAACAACTGCAAGTCTGGTCTTTAAAGTGAACTCTATAATCAGCAAATACCATTAAATATCATGTTACCTTTTAAGTGCCACAAACATGTTTGTAATAACACTTGCAGACAGAATCCCAAGAACAATTCTACTCAAACTGTCTCAAGACTGTAATACTGGTTTAAGGGTTCAGTTGAGGTTCATAACACGTCAACATCAAAGCGCTGACTTTTCTAAATGTTTCAAACCAGTATGATGTGAGGTCAGGTGACTTGGTTACAAAGCACTGATTTGAAAGGCACCCATCATCACTCGCCACAGTCATTACTCATTACCATCCACACAACTTTGGTAACACTTTAGCTTAGGGTCCAATTCTCACTATTAACTAGTTGCTAACATGCATATTACTAGGATATTGTGCTGTTTATTAGTACTAACAGGTGAAACTCGAAAAATTAGAATATGGTGCAAAAGTTCATTTATTTCAGTAATTCAACTTAAAAGGTGAAACTAAAATATTATATAGACTCAATACATGCAAAGTGAGATATTTCAAGCCTTTATTTGCAATAATTTTCATGATTATGGCTTACAGATATGAAAACCCCAAAGTCAAAATTAGAATATTGTGAAAAGGTTTCATAAGCTGTAAGCCATAATCATTACAATTACTACAAATAAAGGCTTGAAATATCTCACTTTGCATGTATTGAGTCTATATAATATATTAGTTTCACCTTTTAAGTTGAATTACTGAAATAAATGAACTTTTGCACCATATTCAAATTTTTTGAGTTTCACCTGTGTAGTGCACATATTAATGCTTTATTATTATTCTACATGCCGTATTCTACATCCCATAATTCACCCAATCCCTAAACTTAACAACTACCAATAAGCGAGTTTGTTGAGGCAAAAGTCGTAGTTGATAGTGAGACTGGGTTATAATAGTGATTGGTGCCCACAGCTATGACTGACCCTGGGTAATGATCCCCGAAGACCTGTCCCATGAGCTGCACGCGCACCAGGTACCCGAGCAGCGGATACACAGTGGTCATCTGGAACAGGAGGAAGGTCCTCGCCACGAACACCAGCACATCGCCGCTGGGAAAGTTATCCAGGAAGTTCTGTAATCGAGGAGACGACCACTTCATGTCTGCACTTCAAACGGCTCATTACTAACAACTGAAGGTGTGTGATGCTTCGTTTGCAGGTCTTACAGGCTCGATGCACTCTTTAGACAGCGGGGGTGATGGGAAAGCAGCGAAGATCAGCACTCCCACATACAGGTACGTCAGTCCCACCAGCAGGTACGCCAAGGACAGATCCCGCACCTGAACACACACACACCACACTCAGATACACTCTACACCAGTGACAGCAACTGTAGAAGCAAAATACTTGATGATGATGATAAAAACAACAGGACTGAAGAGAGACACACATCTCGTCAGTGGGCTGTACTGTTATTTAACGTGTTTTTGGATTATTCTGTTGACGAAACACTGCAAGAACATCTTTACAAGAAAACTAAGTAGTCAAAAAACTCCAGACAACATGATCTGTGGAAAATGATAAGTAATCCCTGAGCTTTGTACAGTGAATGCCATTGAAAAGACGGTCCCTCACTGCTCGTGGCGCTGCTCTGAATAAGGTCTATAATATGATGATAAGCAGCGTGTGTGTAAATGAAACATCTTCACACTCGGAAACACACGGAGCAACACACTTTATGCTTCTGCAGGTAAAATCACAGCCTTTGATTTGATAAGATTTAGTCGCGATTTCAGATTTATTTAATTCATTGTTCAGGCCAATTTGATTATTTTAATGTTAGATTTGATTGGATTATTAGGTTTTCTTCAGCTCGTGGACCCCCTGCGGTTCCTTCACGATCCCCGGTTTAGCAAACCCTGTTCTAGAGCATCTCAACGGTCCTAAAATGTCTTTATGCAATATATATAACCCATTGTTTTTGGTGAAATGTTATCTGGGTATTCTTGAAAAGGTTTTGTGAGACTCACTCCAATATAAAAAAAGGAGAGAAATCTTCATGTTGCCATAATAAACATTTCCTGTGTTTGCTCAGTAACAATGTGAAGTGAAGCGTTATGACCAAACTCCTCAGAAGTCCAAGAATCATGACATGGACAGAAAATGGCTGACAGTGAGGTTATTTCTGTTCTACTGACAGCACAATGACTCAACTCCTATTTCCCCTTTGTGGAAGGTTAGCAGTCCCTTTTGCACACAATGCAGAAGTATAATGTGCGAATATGAATGTGCTGAGTGGGTGATCATGCAGTGATGATGACAGGCGGAGAGCACTCACGTTGTTTTCTTGATGCCTGTTGCTCTTCATAAGCGTGATGATGCAGTTGTGAATGAAGAATGCTAATGTGAGAACTCCACTCAGCTGAACAAACAGAGATCTGAACTCTAAATCAAGCCAGAGACCACATACATCAGTGCGTGCTTATTCACACCACCACACTTCTCTTTCACCGGACTCCAGTACACCATGGGAAAGAAAACACAAACTAAATGTGGGTTCGCAAACCTTTTCCATCTGTGGATGCCTGATTTTGCACTTGAATTGGACATTTAACATCATGCAATCAAAAATTTTACAGTAATTTACAGGGATTGTTGTGTGAAAGGGGCTATTGGTCGTGTTTCAAAAGTTAAACAGCAAATGGGGTCAAAGTTGAATTAGCTTTCTGAAACTTTTTTGAGCTTGTGGCTTGATGCTTGGCTCGCTTGAGGTCACTGCAACGGGTAACAGAGTCGTGTGAAAGGAAATGAATAAACAACCATAGATATGCCTTCAGAATGTGTTTACAGGTGATTTCATGACTTCTTTCTCAAGAAGTTGCCAGATTGGAGGAAAAGAAGAAAAAAAAGATTCCTTTACCTGGAACAAAAAACATTGAAGAATCGAACCAGTGGAACTCCAGGTGAAAGCCCAGTCGAATAGCTTTATACGTGACCAAAAAGATGAGATAGACCACCGATATAGTGCCTGTGGAACAATGAAAGCCTCTTAGACAACAGGGTGACACTGATGAAAACACAAGCTGCTGTTCAGATCAGTCATAACACTGCACTGGCAAGACTAATCCATTTCAGTAGACAGGAGTGTCAAGAGCCGTCCTGTTTCACGTTGATTTGTTGATTTTGAGTCGTTCTCTGCTCTGTCTTCTTGACCGATGCCGCTGACCCAGTTCAACATTTAACCTCTCCAAGTATTTTCACATCGCTGCTACACTAACTCACCATCCCAGATCAGATCAAGTCCAAAATACTCGTCTAGGAGTGCAAGATCATTAATGAACTATTAATAAAGAAATACCCCCGACATACACACATGACAGACTAATACAGCAAAACTTATTACACCCTCAATTCCTAGTGGATACATGTGCCTTGATATCTAAATGTCTTTCTTGCCTAAAACAGTATTTGTGACGAAACATGATCCCTCTAGCTGTGAAAATGAAGGTCATACCGAGGAAAGTGAACCTGGCGAAGAAGGACGCGGAGCGGAAGTTGAGCAGCGGCAGCAGCAGAACGATGAGGTAAAACGGGATGGTGTTGGTTTTACTCCACCAGAGGTCGAACACATGACCTGTGCTGTTCTCACGCGCGTCGTGCAGGAGAGCGCTGCTGTTCCCGTGTGGATCCACATCTGGATACGGGCAGATCACTAGTGCAAGAGGAACACACCTGCTCATTCTGAATCAATGAATGGATGACATGAACTGCAGCTTCGATGGCCAAATGAGCATATCTAAACATCTCTAATCATCCCAATGTTTAAGAAAACTATGTTTCAAGCAAATCAGCTCTAAAGTTATAAGTAGATTTTTTTTTAAAGCAACAAGAAAAACAGAATTTTTACATTTTCACTTCAGTAGATACTTGCTTTTTGTGATCTTCATGATCATATTTGTTATAGTGTCACAAAAATGGTTTGGAATATCGAAAATGTAGTGAATAATTTTGGTGAGGCCATGTCTGCAAATTATATGGTGCAAAAAATGGTCATAATTTGTGAGAGGATTGTCAAAAACCTCCTCTAGGCAACATGGCTGACGGACTCATGTTTCATGCATAACTTCCCAACCACTAGATGGCGCCATCTCAAAATCCCCCCCGTATTTCAGGGCATCGTCCCAATGACACTTACCAAGTTTTGTTCAAATAAAAAAAAAAAATACACAAGATTCAAACCATTAAACCCTGTGTATTATTAGAGGAATCCAAAGAGACCAGGCTCACGTCTTCAAACCAATTACTACTACTAATAATAATCATAAAAACACTATGACGACTCACCTCTATCTGTTCCATTTGTGCCAAATGTATCTGATGAGCTGACATTGTGAACATAGTCTGTGGATGCAAAATACACAAGCAGTTACACAGATCTTCCCAGAAAACATCAACATCCCATACACGAGGAATGCTGGGAAAACTATCACTTACTGTAAATGAATTTCCCAGTATTGAACAGGAAGTTGGACATGAGAACCCAGTAGACCACCATTGCACCAACCAGTGACACCAGTGAGAAGACAAGGCTCGACCATTTTCCAAATGCCCCAAAGTAATATTTGCACACGTCAGGAAACTCCCAGTCTGAGGTATCCATATAAGCTGCAAACACAGAAGTCACGTTATCCCTGTAAACGCGACATATGGAGGAAGTCAGGGAAATCCCGGAGCATTAGGCCTTCTAGAACCTCTAGGCAAAGAGTCCTAGCGTTTGTTGTGGAGTTAATATTTGATACATCTGCATTTATGGCTCATATAGTATGATATCGTGAGAATATAGAGCTCAAACCCGACGAGGTATTCAGAGCCCCAAACATATGCAGTTTGGATCATATTTAATGGCCAAAAAAATGATGAAATTGAGATAGCTTGGAATCATCAAGATCTGTAGAACAGCAGACTACTGACATAACATGCGCATAAACATCAGTCACACTTAATCTGCCAAATATGTCTTTAAGATGATATTTAAATGCTTTATTTATTTAGTGTTATGGTCAAAGCTCTGTAGTTTTACAAATTTACATGAACAAATAAACATTCCTCAAAAGCCTGATGTAAAATGAAAAGCTGTGTGTGGATAATCAAGTAAACCTTCAGTCCACTATGAGCCTTGTGTACTGCGGGTGTAAGAATGTGAAAGATTGGCTGTTTCTTCGAGTGAAGTCATGTGGTGGGCTTACGTATGGACTTTGTGGACTTTAACACTCTGTAGCAGCAGTAAAGCGTCAGCAGGCCCATGAGAACAATGATGATGATGCCCAGAGTGAACCCAGCCTAGAACAGAGCCAACAATAATGCATCTTCACTATAGCCTGCAGTGAGCAAAATAAATACAGCACACACACACACACACACACGAGGTAACTTACTTGTTTTATTCCCCATGGTATACTTAATATAGATGTTCCCATCATTGTGTTCCATATGGCAAAGCTGCACACACACACACACACACACACACACAATATAAGTAATAATAACTGCTTGTACATCTGTAGAAATGTCACCACGTAAAGCCACTTGCACGTTTAAAAATCCAACTACTGTTTAAAGCCCATGAATATTGAACGAGGCAAGTATTGCTTAGTTTTCTGATTGGTTGTCTTTTGGTAATCAACTCGCCATAACATTCTGGCTGCGTTTAGCTTTGGCACTTCATAACTGGGTGTGAAAAGCACTGCATTAAAAGCCTTTATGAGATCGGTCTTACATTGTGACAATGCTGGGGTTTTTGGCAGTACTGTCGCCTCCCTGGACTTTGAACGCTGTTCCCAGTGGACTGTAGATATAGAGGTCCTCGAGAGAAGGAATCACATGGTCTGGCGGTGCCTGAGGAAGATAAGGTGCATACACACATGCATTACATCACAGTACAGGACTAGACCACAACCTCCAGGAGTCCCCAAACAACCCAGGCCCTGTCCTAAAACACAAGCATGGCTGAAGACCTGCTAATCTGGCTTTAGAAACGCATCCTCCACAAACCAAACCAGGAAAAACAAAGAAGGAAAATCAAAGCAACTGGAAAATGTAATCATACACAGATTTAAAACGGCATATCAGTGAAATAAGGCAGGATAAAGATGCCCTCAAACTACAGCACGATCTCACAGGCTAACTGACATACAATACCATTAACATCTTAATCCTCTGTCCTGTAGTCACAGCGCACGCTTACGGGGAGACTGACATCTGTCACTTGCTCTCTCACGTCCATCCAAACCTGTGTTATGTGCTGCATTAAACTAATGACATGAGTGCGAGTACACAGTGACTGGATTTACATGTTTCGGTAAACTATCCCTTTAAACCAAGTGTAAACCAGTATTGGAAAGGGGTAGAATGAATGTTATGAATGAATGAATGTTATGAATGAATGAATGTTATGAATGAATGAATGAAATTCTAAATACATTATTTACAATTGTGTTGAATACTTTATCCTGAATTCTCCATTTTCATTTGTATTTTAAGGTGGTCTGATTGAACCCACAAGCTTTCACTTCACACAAAGGAAGACTATTGCGTTGGTGTGTGTATTTGACAAAAGTTGTTTTAATATATTCTTCATTCTAAAGCCGCAGTCCATTTGCCGTTGTTCTGTGAGTTTGTGCGGGTAAGATACAGTAATAATAGGAATCCATGCGATTGTGAATTTCACGTGGGGAACGGGAGACTTCCCCTCGCAGGTTTTGTAATGTGGATGTGTTGTGTTGACCAACGGGAAGCTGCTCGTGATCTCTGTGTGAGCGCTGCTTCATACATCACTACACTACTGACAATAGACAACGCTTTTGCCCACAGAAAAAGCTTTGCAGAAAGCACTGCAAAACAGTGGCTCACTACGCTTCTACTGACGGCACAAGCTGCGCAAATTGTTCTTTAGGCGTAAGTAGAGATGCACTTTTATCATGGATAGATGCACTTTTATCATGGATAGATGCACTTTTATCATGGACAGATGCACTTTTATCATGGATAGATGCACTTTTATCATGGACAGATGCACTTTTATCAAGAATAGATGCACTTTTATCAAGAATAGATGCACTTTTATCATGGACAGATGCACTTTTATCATGGACAGATGCACTTTTATCATGGACAGATGCACTTTTATCATGAATAGATGCACTTTTATCATGGGTAGATGCACTTTTATCATGGATAGATGCACTTTTATCATGGGTAGATGCACTTTTATCATGAATAGACGCACTTTTATCATGGATAGATGCACTTTTATCATGGATAGATGCACTTTTATCAAGGATAGATGCACTTTTATCATGGATAGATGCACTTTTATCATGGGTAGATGCACTTTTATCAAGAATAGATGCACTTTTATCATGGACAGATGCACTTTTATCAAGAATAGATGCACTTTTATCAAGAATAGATGCACTTTTATCATGGACAGATGCACTTTTATCAAGAATAGATGCACTTTTATCATGGACAGATGCACTTTTATCAAGAATAGATGCACTTTTATCAAGAATAGATGCACTTTTATCATGGATAGATGCACTTTTATCATGGACAGATGCACTTTTATCATGAATAGATGCACTTTTATCATGGGTAGATGCACTTTTATCATGGATAGATGCACTTTTATCATGGGTAGATGCACTTTTATCATGAATAGACGCACTTTTATCATGGATAGATGCACTTTTATCATGGATAGATGCACTTTTATCAAGGATAGATGCACTTTTATCATGGATAGATGCACTTTTATCAAGAATAGACGCACTTTTATCATGGATAGATGCACTTTTATCATGAATAGATGCACTTTTATCATGAATAGATGCACTTTGATGGACTACAAAACAGAAACGGCCATTCACTGCCATTATAAAGCTTGGAAGAGCCAGGATATGTTTTAATACCGTATAACTCTGATTGTGTTTGTCTGAAAAAGAGTCATATACACCTAGCATGACTTGAGGGGGAGTAAATCATGGGCTAATTTTATTTTTTGGGTGAACGATCCCTTTAATAAACCTCCTAAACCTGTTGTTGCTATTGTCGTGTTTGTCCTCACACAGAGCCGCGCTCGTGAAGCCTGTGCTGGTCGTGAGGTGTGGAGGGTGACCCACCAGCAGTCTATCTGAGGAGCCGGTGAGACGGCTGTAGTAGTGGACTCTGCTGCTCAGCACCGCAGCTTCAGCAGAAACCCTCTCCTGGGCCGACGAGTCCTCCACAATGTTCCTCGGCTCCACGTGGAACGGCCTGAAGGATCATGAGCAAACAGGGTTCAGGAGCATGTCTCAGAATGCACACATGTCTGCTACTGTACATTAGTGGATATTAGGACGGTAGATCGATGAGGACAGGATTGGTGAGGATTGCATTAGTGTGTTGTGTGATATAATCGCACGCTTTCAACAGCAGTGTGTGTGTGTGTGGGGGTGGGGGGGGGGGGACATCTTATACAGTATTTGTGAAATACCAGACTGAGTTCATTTGATCCTGCCGGTATTGCTAATTAGTCCTGGAAGGAAACCTAAATTGTTTAGTTTAATTGTAAGGGTCTGAGAGAGGGTGGAAAGTATTCATGAGTAAACTACATTATGGAATTTTGATGGACACACACACACTCACGTTCTCGCACACACACTCTCTCACTCACGCTCTCGCACACACACACACACACACACACACACACACACACACACACACGCTTTCTCACTCACACGCTCTCGCACACACACTCTCTCACTCACGCTCTCGCACACACACACACACACACACACACACACACACGCTTTCTCACTCACGCTCTCGCACACACACTCTCGCATACACACTCTCTCACTCACACACACGCTCTCGCACACACGCTTTCTCACTCACGCTCTTGCACACACACTCTCTCACTCACACACACACACACGCTCTCTCACTCACTCAAACACACACACTCACGCTCTCGCACACACGCTCTCTCACTCACACGCTCTCTCACACACCTCTGTTTGGGGTCCAGTGAATCAGTGTAATACTCCCCAGCGCTCTCTCTCTCTCACACACACACACACAACCTCCTCTGTTTGGGGTCCAGTGAATCAGTGTAATACTCCCCAGCGCTCTCTCTCACTCACACACACACACACACACACACCTCTGTTTGGGGTCCAGTGAATCAGTGTAATACTCCCCAGCTCTCTCTCTCACTCACACACACACACTCACACACACCTCTGTTTGGGGTCCAGTGAATCAGTGTAATACTCCCCAGCGCTCTCTCTCACTCACACACACACACTCACACACACCTCTGTTTGGGGTCCAGTGAATCAGTGTAATACTCCCCAGCTCTCTCTCTCTCTCTCTCTCTCACACACACACACAACCTCCTCTGTTTGGGGTCCAGTGAATCAGTGTAATACTCCCCAGCTCTCTCTCTCTCACACACACACACACACACCTTCCTCTGTGTGGGGTCCAGTGAATCAGTGTAATACTCCCCAGCTCTCTCTCTCTCACACACACACACACTCAGTACCTCCTCTGTTTGGGGTCCAGTGAATCAGTGTAATACTCCCCAGCTCTCTCTCTCTCACACACACACACACTCAGTACTTCCTCTGTTTGGGGTCCAGTGAATCAGTGTAATACTCCCCAGCTCTCTCTCTCTCACACACACACACACACACCTTCCTCTGTGTGGGGTCCAGTGAATCAGTGTAATACTCCCCAGCTCTCTCTCTCTCACACACACACACACTCAGTACCTCCTCTGTTTGGGGTCCAGTGAATCAGTGTAATACTCCCCAGCTCTCTCTCTCTCACACACACACACACTCAGTACCTCCTCTGTTTGGGGTCCAGTGAATCAGTGTAATACTCCCCAGCTCTCTCTCTCTCTCTCACACACACACACACACACAGTACCTCCTCTGTTTGGGGTCCAGTGAATCGGTGTAATAGTCCCCAGCTCGCACTGATCCCAGTAACGGTTTGCTGTCCTCATCCATGATGCTGTGCTTCGATTAAACCGTCATCAGCTGTACAGATGGATCTGAGACGGGATCTGAGACGGGATCTGAGACGGGATCTGAGGCGGGATCTGAGGCGGGATCTGAGGCGGGATCTGAGGCGGGATCTGAGGCGGGATCTGAGACGGGATCTGAGGCGGGATCTGAGGCGGGATCTGAGGCGGGATCTGAGGCGGGATCTGAGGCGGGATCTGAGGCGGGATCTGAGGCGGGATCTGAGGCGGGATCTGAGGCGGGATCTGAGGCGGGATCTGAGACGGGATCTGAGGCGGGATCTGAGGCGGGATCTGAGGCGGGATCTGAGGCGGGATCTGAGACGGGATCTGAGGCGGGATCTGAGGCGGGTCAGTGAGAAAGAGGATCTCCTCCTCTAAAGCACCACACTAACAGCCAAACATCAGAAGACTTTCCACAGGGAGGACCACACTTCAATATCAATGTCCTGTGTAAAAAGCAGACATGACACTTCAAACTCTGCACATACACATGACTGAATAATAAGACATGATGACACATGATGAGGCATGTCACACACACACTCTAAAGCGTCACACAGATTCCTGTCCTGTGAGTAACGTGGACACATGCGGCAGGACACCGGCACTCACAGCCCCTGACAACAACTTCTACGTACAGTTACATTATCTTCACCTTTTATTCAAAATGTGTTCAAGATTTTGTAAGCATAATGCATAGTTGTTGCGTAGTTAATAGTTTTATTTGTGATAACACAACTTAATTTTTGTCCATGCTGTCATACAAAGAAATTATGAACAAGAGAGAACCAATGAAATATTAATGATTGATTGTGTTGTTGTCAATGTATGTTTTTTCCTGTAAGGTTGATTGTTTTTCTATGCATTTTCTTGACAATTTTTTGCCAAATAATTTTGTCAGATAAATACCACCAAGTGTGTGTGTGTGTGTGTGTGTGTGTGTGTGCGTGTGTGTGTGTGTGTGTCATCCACATGATCATCCACAAGTTATTCAGAAACAGCAAATCTAATCATCACTAAATCCTGTAAACAAACACGCAATGTAAGTAGATTACGTTTCCTGTCGTTTGTGGTATTGACAAACAAAACAAGTTCGGAAAAGAGCATTAATGCTCATAATTCTTTTACTTCTGCATATAAACGCCATTCACTGATAAACTGAAGCTCATAATATCATCTCTGCAGTTTGAAGACACTTCTGAAAGTCATATGACATCATCAGGTGTTATGAGCCCTGCAGCTTTTATGGGGAAAACACATTCATATCCAATGTCCAATAATGAAATATGTCTATACTCAGTTTAAGACACCTGCAGCTTCTCTACAATATGATAGGTAAATCATAGCACGAATGTGAATGTGTGAGTGCATCATGTTAAAGTATATGCGTTTAGCCTAGAAACAGATTAACACATCATTCATGCGAGCATTCCTGCATACACTAAAACACCTTTACATCGGCTCAATCTGTCATAAACAACACTGTTAGGTATGTGGCTATGTTTACATATCCGTACGCTTCACATGAATATCGCTTGTTGCTTTACTTTTTAAATATAAGCCCATCTATAAGAAAGTTTTAATAATAAACTTACCAAAACCAGACAAAAGCCGACAATCTGCTGTGCTGAGACAAATGTTTTGAAAAGGAAACTCAGTCTTTAAACGGCACATGCCTGTCAGATGACGCATGGGATTAGTAGTGCGGATTTCACGGATACACAACGCATGTGGAACGTGAGAAAGAGTTCAAACAACTACATTACCCACAATTCCCCAGCGGGCGGCGGTGCATACGCGATGGAAGCTGTTCTGAGAACAGATCCAAATGTGTCCTTTTAATGTAGTAAAAGTTATTAAACACAAAACTAACATTTCATATTGAGTTCCTAAAACCTTTAATCAGCAGAGTCCCATTTATTTATTTTATACAGTTTTTTCTATTTATGTTCAAATTAAAATGTTTATATTAAGCGTTATAATGTCATTGTAATAGTGTTGCTGTTGGTATTAGAAATTACTCAAGCTCTTATATGATTTATGAGAGTTCAAATGTGTATAATAGAGGCCCAGGGCAGTGTGGTCCTCATGATACTTCTAAGGGGCTCAGGATGACATACAAACAAATAAATAAAAGCAATAAGCTAAGACCACTAAAATTCCAGATATTTCTTATTCTAATTCACCCCATCAACGTCTTATAATTCCAGGCATGTTATAAAAATAAGTTTTTCTAATTATACCAAACTCATATTTTTTCGGTATAAATTGAGAAGAAATGTATATTTAAAATCCTTAATAAATCTCACACTGGAAAGCATGAGGCTGGGGCTCCTGAAGGGCCATGTAGTGTCTCTAATGGAGACCAGAATACAGTAGCCTCAAACTCATTCTATATTTAATAAGTTATGGATAGGTAGTTATGATTTGTGCCAGTCTTTTGAGACTTCACTTCCATGCACTGCAGAAAAAATTAATACATGGTGTTTCTAAAACGTTTATTATGACCATTCATTACTGCGGCCTCTTCATTCCAGGACACAACTCAGCCAATCACACCAGAGAAGCAGGACTGTTTATTTACAGTGGTCTTAATGATAAACTTTATGCATACATAACCGAGTGAACCAATACTGGACACTACAAACCAGATGCTGTGGTTAAGGGTTACTGTGCGAGAAATTGTTTAAATGTCATTTTGTCATAAAGCGCAGACGTGAACATTGAGAATCTGTTTGAGGTTTTCACGATAATGGATTCTATCACAGTAGTTTGACAACCACAGACATTCTCCTCTCCTGTAAACAAAGCAGCTTTTGTTTAAAGATTTATAGTAAACGAAAACTGGAGCAATATTTTAAAATGCCCCTTGAGATTTCAGAAGACCTGCATGTTCTTTGGGGTTCAGTCTTTATGACCAATGAATTCACAAGATTCAGTCGTTGGTGATCAACAGACCAGATGTGTTTTTTTACTCATAGCAATTCCCTATTAAAACATGAGCTTTACATAACTAGAAAAAGGTTTAAAGAAATGCCCAGGACTTCGAGATCTAGAAATCAACACTTAAACCCAACTCAAATCTTAAATGCTGAGTTTTTGGGGGAACAGATTAAAGTCTAGAGATGTGAGATGTTCCAGCAGTGTAGAGCCTCCTCGTCGGATCACTGCAAACCCTGACTGAACTGTGGAATCAGATTCAGAAGCAAAGATGTGCGGTAAACAATCACTTTATTTACCTTTATCCGGCAAGGTACATTGGCAAAACAAGTTTCTTTACTTGTTGTATACATTGGCTTTAAGACGAAAACGTCAAGAAAAACAACCTGCAAACTGTCACATTTAACAACAGAACTGATTGGTAAGATACAACTGTAGGAATGAGCTTCAGGGAAAGACATACAAAACTCAATACTCTTAGCAAAGTGTTAAAATGTGACAACTTAAAACAAATCCACTAATCCAGTCGTGCTCCAGTCAAAACAAGTGATACAAAGGAAAATCATCAATCCAAACAGCTAAAAGGCATCATGTCCTGATTAGTGCTCTGGCCTGGAGGTCAAACCTACAGCTTCAAGAATGTGACTCTTTAAATGCAACAGCTTTACTGTAATGCTACCTTAATCACTCAACTTAACAAACATGTCGGAGAAATGAATAAACTCAAAAATAAAAGTTAATCTACATAATAGAACATGGTGTAGGAGCAGTTATTCCCATTCCTCGTCGTCGGCTGCGGCGGACGCTGGGTTTGATGCTGCGGGCGCCGGCTCATCGGCCTTGAAGGATCCGCCCTACACACACACACACATCAGCAGAAGCTCAGGAACAAGAAACTTGTTTCAACTATTTATTTTGTTCATTAAAGTTTTCTGTTCTGTTTTGTGCGTATATATACAGGCTATAACCCATTTGTGTGATGCTTTGCTTTATCATTTCGTTGTATGTAATTAACATTTTTGCGATGTACTTACATTTTTGATACCTTGCCATTAATAAAATAAATAAAAAAGTATAGGGATGTGTGCGGCGTACCTTCCGCGTGTCTGTGGACGCAAACGTTCTTCCCCGTGGGTTGAAGCCGGTTGTCCCATGAGCACTGAACGCGATTTCCTCCAGCCATTTGGGAACCGTCTGTTGAGCCTGCGAGAGATGGAGGTTTATGGACGTTACTCTGGTCTTTACATTCAATCATTTTGTCCAAAGCAACTTAAAAATGAGGAGAACGAAGCAATCGAACCAACTGAAGGCAACAATATGTAAATGCTATGACCAGACCCAGTTGATCTAGCACAGTGCATGTGGCAAGGGTTTTTATATTGAAAAAAAAAAAAAAACAATAGTGTTCGTATTCGCTCTTAAAGTGACAGCAGCCTAATGTGCGTCTATCATTAATGTTGATAGAACAACAAAAGATAGGCTGTTAATCCTGATTCCTTATAATTAAAGCTATGCATTTAATGTATACAGGACCAAAAGACTACATTTAGTGTCTAGCATTTCTGAACACTAGTGTTAGACCTACCCAAAAAACTTCTTTATTTTGTTCCATTTACTTTTTCAATTTCAAAGATTGAAATCAAGCTTTCCTGTGTTGAGTAAACTCTTAAGCAACAAAATTACCCCATTGTAAAAACACAAATACAATGAGTGAGCAAACATTTAAGAGATATAAAATGCAATTAATGTATATATATTTATAAAAACATGCATATCATTTGTTTATAAAAAACACACAATTAGATTTATTTAGTGTCATTAGCAGGTATTAAGTACTTTTACCAACACGTCTACCCCAGATGCGACAGCAACCGTTGCAAACTCATTTGTTCTTCGTGTCAGAAGTAGCGCGAGCACTTGAAGTACATCAGAAACAGATCGGAGCATCAGTGTAGACAGCATCGCTGATTATAATGGGTTGTTAGCTTTTGTCACGTCGCGCCTTTGTCAAGTTTTAATTTGAGCATCACTGTACAGGATTTGAGATTTTGTTTGTGCTGCAAAAATTTCAGCGATTGGCCGTCCCTGATCACCCCTCCTTAAAAGCCTAAACTTAACGTCCAAATCAGTCAAATCGTGTAACGAGACTCATAAAAAGCAGTCTACTGTGAGAAGTAATGTGAGAAGTACAAACCCCTGAAAGGACTTTGACCAGAGAGCGAGCTACTGGAGTGTCTGACTCTGGGTTAAAAAAGGACACGGCCCGACCAGTGTTCCCACAGCGTCCGGTTCTTCCAATGCGGTGGACGTATTCATCGATGCTGCTGGGCAGGTCGAAGTTCACCACATGCTGCACATGCTCGATGTCCAGGCCTCTGGCAGCGACAGACGTGGCCACCAGCACCGGACACTGGCCTGTGCGGAAGTCACTGAGAGCTTTCTCTCGCTCCCGCTGCTCCCGGTCACTGATCACAGGAGAAAAGTGCTCCATTAGAGGCGAATCGCAATACCATGCAGCAATGACTGATTACCATCACGAATAGCGGTTCAGGGGTTACAAAGCTACTTTCAACACAGAGTCATGAAGAGCAGGTTATTGTGGGAGGAGAGAGAAGAGTGGAGGAACGGTACCCGTGGATGCTTGTAGTATTGATCTTCTCCTGACAGAGAAACGTTGCTATGAAATCAGCACTTCTTTTGGTTTCAACAAAGACCATTGTGCGATCAGTCCCTGTAATTGCAAACACAAAATGCCATAAAATTGATAATTTAATGTCTTGACTGTGAAAAAGTTACCCAGATTATTTTATGCATAAAAAAACACAAAAACACGAGACAAACATCTGTTATTAATGTCGATTCAACATCAGTTTTGGGATACAAGTTCAAATGATGACTTAATCAACGATCGATAAGTTTTCGCTTAGAATTATCGACAATTAATTGATCGATAAATTGTTAGCATCCCTAGCGATCACCAATGGAATCACTCTAGTTCAAGAGGAAGATTAAGGTATAAATAACAGATATTGGATAGAATTATTTTATCTTAAAGCTGCTGTCCGTAGCTTTTTTGGGGTTAAAAATTATCCAAAATACATATTTGATAAAATACATAACCAGCCAGTGTTCAAAACTATCTGCTTGCCTTAGCTCGATGCAAAACGGTAAGCTTGTAATAATGTTTTTAATTTTAGTGGTACTGGTGGATTTCCGCGGGAGATTCGAGCATGTCTTTGCGTCATTACGTCACATCTGTACACATAAAGAAGGAGTCTCGGCTAGTATAAGCTATATTGCGTGTGAGGATGTTGGAGGTAGAGATTTATAGCCTTTTCTCACAGCACTTGATATAATTAAACTTATCAATTTGATGGCGGATCCAGAAAGGTTCAAACGACGATCATCATCAGTGACAACTAGAGACTCACCCGCTGTTACATGCAAAAGACTTCGTTCGGACTTCGGAGTGGCTACAGAAAAAAAGAGACTGCAACCGGCCCATGCGAAAACAAGGATAATATCGGAAGGACATTACATGTAGTCACGCAATGCTTGCTGACGTTGTTAACATTAACAATTAGAGAACATAGTATAGCTACTTTGCACGGTTTTGCGTGAAATGATAACTTATAAGCAATTGTTAGATTTAATCAGCGCGATTTACTGCAATGTCAGAACCAGAACAAAAGTGGATGTTTCTTACTAGCTCAGATGACATTTCCCGGTGAAAATTCTTATGTTGGTCATACTTCCAAAAAGAATAATCTGTGATTCTGAATGCCAGTATCCACACCGGCGGCGACTGACAGCCTCACACTCTCCTCAAACACTGTGTTCATCCGCGCTGTGCCGTGTCGAGGGTGTTGAACTACAACCCACGTAAAGTTGATAATTCCACGAATGACTGCAATTGCAGATTTCGAACAGAGATGGCGACAAAGAGGAAAAATGCCGGACTGCAGCTTTAAGCACGTTGACAAATCTGAGATTTACGCAGTGTAAATGCAGCCTTCGAGGCGGTTGTGCCGTAACGAACAGTGTTTGAAGACGCTGGATGGAGAACGACAGACAGGAGCAGCAGAGGGAAGGCTTTCTGTGAACTTGCATATCCTCCTGAGAGCTTAGTGAGGAACAGATGGATTTTGACTGACTCTTTTACAAGCATCATCTTTGTGCTTTCATACATTGCAATGGGAAATTCAACAAGTCCTCAAGGTAAATTATAATCCAACACGTTCTGATGTGAACACACACCTGTAGTTTTGAGCAGTTCCAGCAGCTGCTCCCTCTTGGAGAACTGGTCCACCTGAATGATGGTCTGCTCCACATCACTGCAGGCTCCGCCCACCACACCGACAGCGAGGAAGAGGTAGTCCACTTTCAGAAACTCTGCTGCCAACCTGTCATGCGATACATGATGCATACAGTACATCAGTCCTGCTGAAGCCACTATTAGCATGATGTTTTATTTCACAGAACAGTAAAACTACAATACTAACATTTATGGTTGTCCTTATGTCTTTTCTTTCAAACATTAAAGGTTCTATTTAGGCTGAAAACCACAGAGATTTTAACGCTTTTGTTGACATTACCAGTGGCGCCTCCAGAAATTTCTCATAGGGGTGGCCAGATGGGGCCACTTAAAATCTTGGGGTGGCACACCAAAACTATAAACCATAATTTCAGAATTTTATTCTACTGTTGTAGTAAACCGGCCTGTAGAAAACTATCAGAAAGACTTAAGGAAACTCCGACTGATATACTTTGGGTTATTGTGTTATACGTTAGCTTACTAATGATATTAGTAGGGCCCTATTAATATATATTATATATAATGATATATATATTATAATTATATATATGATATATATAAGGGCCCTCGCCCCGCGGCAAATTTTCAGATACTTACATAATTGTGATGAATTTAATCCTTTTTAAGTTATTATTTTGCAGTGTAAGATTACAGTTAACACCTTTAAATATTACATAAATGTACTATGAATTTTTAATAAACTTAATGAGTGCATAAATCAGCAGCAAAAAGTAATTCTTGAAAAAATCTGCACAGTAATTTTATAAAATCTAAATATGTTAATAAAAACAAATTACTATTAGTCCTCTTATAAAATTCAATCAGGCAATCATACATTTCACAATTTTTTATTATGTCAAGAATTCAGAAGTGCATATATAGCCTACACTACAAAGAAATAATATACAATTAAATTATGCTTATTTTAAATGTATTGAGCAGGCTAGGTATAACTAAATATATTGGCTTTTAATAATATTTCAGTGCGCAAACCGATGATAACATGAAAAACAGAGCGCACACAGCGTGTATGCGCATCGCGGGTGCAGAATGATGTGCTCAAAGCAACGTGGTGACTATGTGTGCAGCGCTGCGCTGCATAAGTGCGTATTTAAAAGTTCACGTCACAAAGCGAAGAAATGTCGAGCGCACAAAATAATCCTAGTGCGATTTGTTCCTTTGTTTCAGTTTTATATTCCAGTTATTGTGCGTTTGATGCCGATTCATAGGCCTTGTGATGTGTGTGTGATGATCTAGCAAGCACACGGTAGTGAGTCCTTTAAAAACAACAACAAACTCCAACAAAATAAAGTATTTTTATGCAAATCTACAGCCTTTTATCTACAGATCATGCATTATAATGTGAATATATCATATTGGAGAGAGTTTTACCCTGCATCCAAGAGGCGCGCGCGCTGTTTGAATATGAATGGAGAATGATTGACAGCCACAGAGGAGGGAAAAGGAGTTTCCGTATACTTTAATGATGTAAATAGACTTCTGTCCCTCACATTAAGCTATGGAATGACTTCAGATGACTTTGTCACCCAAACTGACGTGAAAAAAGCGAGAGGCGCCGAAAAGCGCGCTGTTTGCATCCCTGCTGGTCAAAACGTGGCAAAGACACGTCAAAAAGCTGCTGTAACAGTAGCTATACTGTAACCATTGGCACTTAAAAAGCACGTCACGACACATAATGCCCCGTCTTCTTTTACTAAAGAATATGTTTGACTTATTTATGAAATGCATAACTGATGCTACTAAAATTTATTCTGGCCATCGGGGTGGCCAGGAGTCGGCCAGGGGTGGCCACGGCCACCCCCTGGTGGCGCCATTGGACATTACATATTTCCAAAGATAATTGGCGCATCTGAAAATTAACAATGCTGTTCTTTGGCTATACACTGAAACATGCAGCACTAGGGCTGTGCGATATGACGATATATATCGGATGGACGATATAAAAAGCCTATCGTTTCATATTATGCCATATCGTTTATATCGTGGTGTCGCAAAAAAACATTGTTTACGGCAAAAATTTGGATGACTGCAATCTTTCACGCCACCATGGGGATGCAGGCAGGAACGTGAATAACAGCATGAATGAAGGGGTGACAGAACCGGGTGTTTCCGAGCAGGAGAAGAACCAGCCAGAACAAACCGAGGAGCTCGTTCCTAAACGAGGGGCTAGATGGTTTGGTTAACTTTCTATTTGTTGTATTGACCATTTTAGGGTGGTTTGGATAAATAAACGCCAGTCTCAAATAGAGGCCTGGTCTGTTTTTTAGTTTCGGTTTGTATTTAATCTTCTAAAACCCGTCAGATCGTCTGTTTAAACCAGTTCTGTGGTGCAGATTGCGCGCATCTGGGCGGAGTTGTTAGCGCAAGCAGAGTTAGCGGAGGCCGGAGAGAGAAGGAGATCGTTTTACAGGGTATAGCCTTCATTCTTTCTTGTTGATGTGTTTCGGGCAACAAGTTCATAGGCTCGATGGATATTACCAGTAATGTATTGTTCAGCCCATGGCTGTCACATCGTTTTTTTTTTTTTTAATTCTGCCAATAATCTAAAAGCTATGGTTATATTAAATGTACAATTATCGTTATGTATATACAGACTTCACCCTGTGCTGCAACATACATTTAGTTGTACATTCATTTACAGAAATCAGCTGGTTGAATTCAAATTGATGCTGTTATTATCGGATTTTCAGGTGATATTCCCAATTCATTCAGTTAACGGACGCTCTGAGGTAAAGTGTTCAGACTGCAGACTAAGCAACGATTGTATTTAATTGTACAGTACCATCATAACATAGTACAGACATGATCTTAATTCCATAATGTCCTTAAACATAACAATTTGCTGGCCATAAACTGACAGCGCGCGTCCGGTGTGTGTGCGATACCTCGAGTTGCTATAGACACGGCGCGCGCGCTTCTCGTCCGGTGAGCGACCCCCTTTAGACATAATAAAGTAGCCTAGGCTAATTCTTAGATTACGTTTTATTTATAAATGTGTTTAACAAATCCGTTAATCTTCGTTATCTCTAGGCCTACACTAAATGAAAGGCCTGTCTCAGACGCCTGCCTCAAATACAAGCCGGTGCAGTTCGGCGATTTGGGAAAATAAAAGCCCGGGCTATTATTTGAAGTTTTACAGTATATCGTGATATATATCGTTATCGGGATATGAGATGACTTCTATCGTGATATGAGATTTTGGTCATATCGCCCAGCCCTATGCAGCACTACTATACATTTACATAATTACACCACAACGGTTGCGATTTGATCATCTTACTAAGCTGTTTCACATTTCCAAAACTATTGTCAAAATTCATTAAAAATAAATAAATAAATAATAAAAAGTTACCAGCCAACTGGCGAGTAAAACCATTCCAACGCCGATTTTTACTTGCATTTGGCACTAGTTTGATACGGCCATAATGTTAGCCAGGGTTCACAGATAGCGTCAAAGCAATCCATGCATGAAATAAATGCAGGGGTTAAAGTGAAAAAAAATTCCTGAGCCTGAACCTTTTTTTTGGGAGGGGGGATGAACTTCAATGGCACAATTTATTTTCAAGTATTACAGCTTTATCTTAATGCCGTCTTTTTATAAATGAAAGCCAGTATAACTAATATTATATCTACTGATGTCTCGATGAAAATGATTTTCCCCCAAATTAGGCTTCAAAAAATATAAAAACCTTTAATTTAAGTGAACTTAAAACAATCCTCACTTAAACACATAATAAATGTCATATTTACCTGTACCATACAGAAATTGAATAAGGTTATAAAACAGTCCGCACTGCATAAATTTTAAATGAAATATAGATTCATCCTTATCAAAGCTACAAGCGTTCTTTAGTCGAGGGCAGTGAGTAATTTTCTCTGTTCCCTCTGTTCTTTAGGTTAACTTTACTGACAGACAGAATTAATGGCTCCTGACACTTTAAGATCTGCCGCTGGTGAAAGGATCTCACGCATCTCATTCTCTCACTACTATTTACTTACTTCCATTTAAGATTGTATTTAACTCATTTAAGACTGTTCTTGTGAGGAAACTCGACAAAACTGACATTTTGGCATAAATGTGTGTGTTGTTGTTCGTTCAAGCGCGAAAGAACTCTATACTGGCGTGCGTCTCGTGTGTGTGTCTCGTGTGTGTGTGTGTCAGGAGGACATTCACTGACAGCGCGATCTCTTTTGTCTTGTCGCGCATGAGTGGTTTAAAACATTTGCGTGAATAAGAGCGTGATCATAACCCTAGCTAAAGGATGACAGAAAGAACGGATGCTGCGTTAATTGCTTAAATATTTTAACACGTTAGCTGGACAAAAATGAATCGCATGCGAAAATAATAATTTTTTCCTTACGGCCGCACGCCGGACATCCGGCACGGTGCCGGAATACTTTAAGCCCTGTAAATGTATTAGAAATCCAGGGATTCTCAACCCTCAGTGTAAACTTTCCTGCATAGTTCAGCTCCAACCTTGATTAAACTGCCCTGCCTATATCTTTCCAGCAATCCTGGATACCTTGATTAGCTTGTTCATCTGTGTTTGATCAAGGTTGGAGCTGAACTCAAGCCCAATTTCCTGCAGAGCTGCGAACCCCTCGTTTAAAGCATGTTTTTATGTTCCACGGAAGGAGTTATAAAGGTTTGGAACAACTAGGTTCTGGAAGAGCTCTTTTAAAGTGTGTCAGAGTCAGACCTTTGGATCTCTTCAGGGAAGGTGGCACTGAACATGAGGGTTTGCCGTTCCTCTTTTGGAGGGATTCCTGGAGATCCCACTAGCTTTCGCATATCTGGCTCGAAGCCCATGTCCAGCATCCGGTCTGCTTCATCCAGAACCAAATACCGTAGCTTACTCAGGCTAACCTGACGGGAACAAGTCAAACACAATAATTAGAGCCACACAACATATACAGTCAGTTATTAAATGCATGGTATATTAGAGAGAAAACTACCTTTCCACGCCCAATGATGTCAAGCAATCTTCCAGGGGTCCCACACAAAACATTGCAGCCCTTCAACACCTCTCGAATAGTATATCCAGTATTTATACCGCCATAAACCACCACAGGGCGCACACAGGTCCTAAAAGATTCAAGAACAATTACTTCAGGATATTAAATTGCAGTAGTTTTCAACTTGGGGACTACAAGCAATATAGAATGAATGAGCGACTTCATGCGAGCCCAAGTGTGGACTATGCTAATAAGCACTTGTAAATCAGAATCAACTCATGAAATCTGTATCAATACCCAGCCTCACTGTGCAAACTGTACTGTAGTCGTCAGCTAGTATTAGTTATTTTACGGGGATTCATGTCCACATCTCCAACTTTTCTAATTAGGCCTGCACTGCATAAACCTTATCTTTTCCGATAAATATAATTAGGTAAAAGTTCACACACATTAATTATTGGTAAAATATTGGTTATTACTTATTGATAAGGGGGGGGAGAGAAACGCATTAGATTTGATTAAATAGAGAGATAAAAAGATTAATCGATTGAAAGAAAAAAAGTGTTAGTTCCAACTACTATAAATGAACAAACTACCCAATTTATATGGCTGAGAATGGTAAAGTGTGTACCCAAATGCGAACTTCCTAGCCTCCAGATAGATCTGGTTGATGAGCTCTCTGGTGGGAGCCACGATGATGGCCTCGGGCTCCTGCACCTCGCTGAACTTGCTGGCCGCCACTCCATCAGTCATGAACTGCTGCAGGATGGGCAGCAGGAACGCCGCCTGGGGGACGACACAGACCGTCAGCTGGACTGAAACATGTGTAGCCAGTGATCTTCTGAAAACACTGACAGGAAAGACAATCATTAAATAAGAACAGCATGCTAGAGAGTGGTTCTTGCCGTTTTTCCTGATCCGGTCTGGGCACAAGCCATTAGATCCCGTCCAGCTGAGATAATGGGGATCCCATATTTCTGGACAGGAGTAGGCTTCACATATCCAGACTTCCTTACATTCTTGCTCAGTGATTCACAAAGTCCTGCTTCGTCAAAGGTCTGTGTGTGAGAGTGAGAGAGAGTTATTTTGGCCTATTTTCAAAGCTTTTGAACATGCCATGTACACAAAACAGCTCTTGTGGACACAATCGTATACACAATGAAGACTTTCTTTCAGTGTCTTGTAAAATCTGATCTACAGAGTTGTCAGATCACTCATTAACATGCAGGCTCCATCTAGTGGTGTTCAGGTTACGACACAGTTCAATAGTAAGCCGTTCTAGTAGATCAGAGGGTGCGGTATAGCAGATCCTTAGAAATCATTTAGAATTGAAATGCTGTAACAAGCAGTATAATTATCAACCAATTTAACCACGGTCAATTCATTAACAGTTGTTCACAAGCAATCATTTAGCATAAATGTGTAATATTTATTGATTGCAAGCTGCTGCAACAGCAAGCCTATAAAAAGTGCAAATTATTAAAGGGATATATTGTAAACTAGATCGGGAGAAAAGAACTGACCACAAATGCAGAGTACATGTCTTTATCACACTGTTAAAGCAAATACAAAAGGGGGGAAAAGAAATTCAGGAGGAAGAGAAAGCAGGGACTGAAAAGAGCTCCTGCCATATTCATGTTAAACCATGTCATTAAAATACCAAGCGTTACGTTATCCTCATGATCACATTTTATGAGCACAAATTTAATCCCACATGTCCATGGGAGAGTGGTCGTGAATGGGCGTCACAACACGATGGGTGTGGCACATCCACACTGCACTGATACAATCATCTTTTTCAAAGTTAAAATGGATTGCAAAATATATCTTTATAACTTACCATAATGGCTTTTGGAGTATTGCTGCCGCTCACTTCCACGGGAATATCGTCATATTTATCAAAATTAAGGCCTGTGGCAAATTGTGCAAATATGGAGCTCTCCTCTTCTGGAGGGGGCGGCGGCACATAGACCACCTTGGGTCCTGCAACACAGACAAACGGGACGTTACTCAATTTGGATATGAAACGAGGCTGCAGCAATTACTTGAGATCCTACACAGCCCATTTCAAAATGTTCATACCATTTCCAAAAACTTTGGCTGCACCATGAAAAACTCTCGTTGTATCATTTAAAGAAAACCCAAATCTGAAATTTTTTCCCACATACTTTTCCAGATTTGGAAAAAATCTAATTCCATACAGCGAAAGAAAAGCTTTGTCTTGCTCTGAAGGTAAATATGACCCACCTGCATTTTCACCAGCTTCTTGATCTGTGTTGTCTGATGTTGAGACTGGGGAATCAGAGCAAGAAAACCAGCAAGTTATAGTAGCTACTGGTTACTAGGGCTGCACAATATATCGAAATATTGCAAATGTGTATATCGGATATGCATCTCTCAACTGCTTGCAATAACTGTGGTCATGAACAAAAGACAGAAAATTACTCACAGCTCTTGGCAGAATAATTTTTGTAGCTTTAATAAGAATCAGTATATATTTAATTCATACAGTAAAGACTAAGCAGTGTTTCATTTTTACATTAATCAGTTTCTGTTTAATAAAGCTAATGTAGGCCTTCCTGAACCCCTAACCCCGTGCTTTACACTGATGTTTAAATAACACTTCTTATGCTACAGTAAAACGTTGTAGGGATGTTTTCTTGTCACAAAGAACGTGAAACATGTAGGTTAAATTATCTTTAAAATATATTTAAAATTATATGAGTTAATTTTATACACTTCAAGCATGATCGGGTCGCATACTGAATATAGTTAATCAAATTTTTCTTCAATACCGTGCAGCCCTACTAGTTACTATAAATGCAGTAATTACCCTTGGAGAACACTTCCTCATTCTGGCCTCTGAAACCTAAACCGAGCCATTGAAGAGAGAACTCAGTTAAAGCACAGAAGAACCACTTGATAAAATCACTCAAGCACCACTTAAAAACAGATGAATTTAACATCACCTCCTCTTCCACCTCCAAAGCCTCTTTTCCCCGTCTCTTCATCGCCACCTTAAGAGCAAGAGATAAATATTACAATTAAATTACACTATTTGACTGTGACTGGTCAAAGGCAGCTGCGGTCAAACACATGTATACTAACAACTGTAAGATTTACCATTGCCCCAGGCAATCAACTTCCAACATGGCAGGAGGTAGACATGAAACTAGCACAGCTATCTTCTCTCATAACTACAATTCAAATTAATTTCTTCCAAAAACTAACCATCACTAAACCCCCCACGGAAGCCACCACGGCCTCTTCCTCGGCTCTCACCTCCTCTCCACCCTGCAACACACAGATGGGCTCCATGAAACACACGAGGCATAACATCAGGTCTGTTATTCAAAAGAAAGAAATATTACCTCCGTCGTTGCCATTTTCATCACCATCTGGAAGATAAAGAGCATTATGTAAAAATTCTCATACATACATTTGTACATGCATTCATTCACAGATGAATATTAAAATATCACCTTTCCCAAAGCCTCTTCTTTCGGTCTCTTCATTACCACCTTAAGAATGACACATTAAAATTAACTTACGCATTACACAACTCAACTGTGATTGGTCAACTCAACTGTGATTGGTCAACTCAACTGTGATTGGTCAACTCAACTGTGATTGGTCAAAGTAAGTATTTTGTGGTCAGATTCACCATTGCCCCAGGCAACCAACTTCCTGCATAGCTGTGCATATTTCAAGGCATCTCTTTTGGCCATTTTCTCACATAAATTACAATTAAAATGAATTTATTCCAACAACCCACCGTCACGGAAACCACCTCGAGACCCCCCACGGAAGCCACCGCGGCCTCTTCCTCGGCTCTCGCCTCCTTTCCACCCTGCAACACACAGATGGGCTCCAGGACACAACGAAACACTAGACTCATTAAACATGTCTTATTCGAAAGAGAAATATTACCCTCGTCGTTGCCATTTTCATCGATTTCTGAAAAAAAAAGAGAAAAAAATCGGAGCATTTAATGTAAAACATTCTCACATTTTTACACACAGCTTTAAATATTGCCTCCAAGTGTCTGTAGATGCTCAAGCCACCAGACAACTTATTCAGCGAGACTGCTGTGCATGCCGGTGACTGCCGTCTGTCTAAAGCCCTATCCGGAAGGGATTAGCTTTACAAGGGTAGAGGGAGTGATGTAATTTTACCACAGGACGTCTGTGATAGGGCTGAAACTACTAATCGATTTAATCGATTATTACAATAGTTGTCAACGAATGTCATTATCGATAGGGCTGAGCGATTTTATCGATTCTGCGATATAAATCGATATTTTTTCTCCCAAGAAAGTATCGATTTTTAGGCCGCGAGTATCGATACATAAGTCCCATTCAAATCCCCCGTGTTAAACCCGTTCGCGTTGCATGAAGAGTGATTTGGTCAGCCAGCCGCTAGTGGCCAGCTGCACGCGTGCATCGATATTGACGAAAATCCAGCTGTATTCAAACAACAACTTAGCTCTCCTTGTTGGCTAGGCTCCTTGCATGCTGGCTAGTAGCTTTTTTTAAAGCTGGGTCTCCGAAATTGACAGCGCTGTGTTGGACAGATTTGTGCAGCGGTGTTCCGTGAGTGAGAAAGTGCGCGAGGTACGGATGAGTGTGTGTGTGTGTGTGTGAGAGAGAGAGAGAGAGAGAGAGAGAGAGCGAGAGCGAGGTAGTGCTGCGTGAATGCGCTGCGGCGCTCTGCAATCAAATACGATTTTAAATAGGCTTAGTAAAAAAAAAAAAAATGTAAAAAAAATCGTATTCGGTGGTGGAAAACGCCGGCTTTAGGCGCATGGTGAACGCGATGGAGCCCCGCTATCCTATTCCAACCCGCGAACACCTCATCAAGGTTTGCATTCCCAGGCTGTACACTCAGGCAAGAGCACACGTCAAAGCCTCCCTGGCCAGCGCGGAGAGAGTTTCCCTGACGTGCGACGGCTTGACCTCGCGCACAACTGAAGCACGTCACATGTTCAGTGTCAAGCTAAAAAAGCTGTCAAAGAAAAGGCAGTGCAAAGAAACTGTTCACAACAGGCCACTTGCTGCACCTTTTAACTCTCCATTGAAAAGTAAATAAAGTGCAGTATTGCAATTAACAAAGGCTTATAAGCTACAGTTTGCACTGTTGTCTTTCAATAAATAGAACTAATTTTCTCTACACATATTTGATTCATTTTGTCCAGCATTTGCAAGCTGTACTCTCTGCCCAGTCAGAGACATATATTGTGTAAATGATGTTTTCAGTTTTCAGTTCAATTAATTCAATCCAAGTAAATGGAAGACTCACAAGATGTCACCAAAATCACTCTGTCCCCTTTAAATCTTTCAGAAAATGATGTAAGTGTATCGAATTATATCGAATCGTATCGTTGGCTGAATATCGTGATATATATCGTATCGTCAGCCGAATATCGTGTATCGTATCGTATCGTGAGATTAGTGTATCGCTACAGCCCTAATTATCGATTAGTTGGTCTGCTTACGTCACGGGGAGCGTTTACTGGTGATTGGTTGAAACAGGCCAATCATGATGCTCTCCGTCTTACATGCGCTGCGCTTCATGAGGCACACGCAAGGTCTCTCTCCCTTCGCCGATCTGCCGTGCGCGCAGAGACCGAGATCTTTTTTACAGTCTGTTTGGAGCAGTCTCTTCTGTCTGGCATGCGCGCTCTTGCTTGCGCGCTCTCGATTCCGGGAGTTTGAACTAATTTGCGGGCATCAGGGAGCCGCTATCAATATGCGGGAGACTCCCGGAACTTGTGCGAGACTTGGGATGTCTGTATTTTGTCTCGAGCATCAGGTTGCGCAATCAGTTCGCTCGCAACATAAGTGATGGATTAAAATAGTGCTACCGCAGAAATAGGTTAAATTAAAACGGTGTTTACAAAGTGAAGCACTAAATTAAAGGCAGTTAATAACAGCAGCAGTAAAAGACTTTTTTAGTCACTGTACTCAGTGGTTTTCAGCGAATGCTTGTGCACTAATGCATCATTTTTCCTGTCCTTTTAATCAAGCCTGTTAGCTTGCTGCGTACCATTCCGATCTACTGCGGCTCTACGTTCACACGCTTGTTTACAGTCTTTCTATATTTATTTGATCAATTATTCTTATAATTCAATTAATTATAAATAAATTCATTATATATTTGAGATGTTTTTAGTTTATATCTTCACATCTGAACAACATGTCTGTGTAAATTTGTTTTAACAAAAATTGTGTTAAAACATGTTGGATATCATTTAATTAATTTTAAATTAATCATGGTTGTCAACTTGCCATCAGCAATTATCATTAAAAACAAAGCAAATATTGATATTAGTAAAACTCAATGTGTGACTTTTGCACTTTTTAAAGTACACTTTTACACATTAATACGCTTGTGGCGAGCAGGACGAGGCCGAGGGACGTGAGAGAGCGGCGCGAGGCCGGTGGCGTGAGTGATGATGATGATGAACCACACCTGTGAGACGCACCGGTCTCGCATCTCTCACGTCCCTCGGCCTCGTCCTGCTCGCCACAACCCTGATTTAGGGTTTTATTTAGTTATAATAAACAAAATCAAATTGAAAATTTTACCCGATTAATCAGAAAAATAATCGTCCGATTAATCGATTATCAAAATAATCGTTAGTTGCAGCCCTAGTCTGTAATATTAATGGCCAATTCGCACGGGATAAGATCTCAGTAAAACCAGCAGAAGCGGGAGAGTAACTCGATTTACACACCGCCGTCCCTCCTGTCGTCATGTGTGTATTACGCTGCTTCCTCCAGGAATATCATATCACATCACGTGCGCAAACACACATAACCTATATTTATAAAACAGTTACGTCCGGTCGAACGATGTATTAACTTCAGATCGGACTGTGTTGGTAATAGGCACTATCGCTAAAAGATGTTTCGTGCCTCTAACGAGTGCTTTCGATCTTCTCTCTGATCTGGTGTGTGTAAAACACTTGAGTTTTGCCAGAGACTCGTCCCAGCGTCTAGAACGCAACTGACTGCTTTCTCAAGCGTCTCCACGGGAAACTACTTTTAAACAGGAAATGACAAACCTTTAAAGGTGTTCCTGAAGCCTCCTCTCCCTCCTCGGGATCCTCCCCTGCCTCCTAAAAACACCAGATAAGCAACGGTTACAGCAGTCACACAACTCCAGATTTAAACTCAGCACATGTAACTGAATCTATAGTTCTTTAAAAAAAAAAAAAAAAAAAGGTCAGGTATTTTAAAAGATGTAGTTTTGAAGTGGAATTAAATTCATGGCAATTCAAAGAAATTCCAGAGTCACAACAGAAAGAATGTGTTGAATCTCACATACAATCAGTGTTAGGAAGGTTACTTTGGAAATGTAATTGCTTACTGTTATAAGTTACCCATTATAAATGTGGTTTGGATTACTTTATCAATGTAAAGCAATTTCCTTTTAATTTGATTCTAACTAATTGAATTACACATTTTGCCTCAGTAATACAACTAAATACAATTACATTAAGTTTGTAATTTAATAATTTCATTACACGTAACTAGTCACTCCTCAACCCTGCATACATTTTGTTCTAATATATATATATAAAATATGTCCACCTCAAATAGTTTTTTTTCCTGGGAAATGGAATCATGTTCCACAAAATTACAATTACAATAAATCAAACTTAATTATTTGTTCTGTGACTAGAGCTTTTAACATTCATTGCTGGGGGAAAACATTTCCTGTACAAGTAGTTCAAATGATTACTTAGTACAAGTTCAGATCCTCACCTCTGCCTCTGAACCCGTCGCCAGCAGTCGACCTCCACGAGTCACTATCTACAAACACAACGGCTCACCTTAGACGGGCTCTGATCTGAATCCTTTCAAGCATCATGATTCCAGATGATAATTACACAAGTTATTGCTTCTAATATGTTTGTAAAAACACAGGGCTCCAGACCAAAAAAATTGGCAAAAGGAAATGGGATCCAAAAGGTTCAAATCTCAGAGTTGCTTGGTCAATATGGTTGTTTAGAACAGCCTAGTACAATTTAGATCTAACTCGATGCCTTCACTCTAGCGATACTGATTGTATCTGCATCTACAGTGCATTCAGAAAGTATTCAAACTTTTTTTTTTTTGCTTCTTCACTAAAATACCCCCGACACAAGTGCTCAGACGCTTAACCCAGTACTCCGTCGAGGCTGTAATCACTGCCAAAGAGCTTCAAGGGTTTTCGGCTATGACGCAACAAGTTTTACACATCCAGATTTAGCGCTTTTCTGCGATACTCAGATGTAGGGGTGGGAATCTCTAGGCACCTCACGATTCGATTACGATTCAGAGGGCTGCGATTCGATGCTAAATCGATTATCAGAATCTTTTTTTTGTGTGTGTGAGACTATAAATACTTTGCTTTAAAAGTAGAAAGTAATGACCCATAAAGAATTAACGTACAATATGTTTTATTAACATTGCAAAGAACCAACAGGAAAATACATGTGTGTCTGAACTAGCAGCAGCATATTTGTAGTAAATTAATAATATAACAACGACCGGTAACGTTACAGCCGAGTGTTTTTCCTCCTCTGGCTGGAAACGTGTCATATGGCTTCTCATATGTGTCTTGTTTCCGAAATATTTTAGTTTTACTCTACAAAGCTTACAACTAGTGTGGCTCTTGTCCAGCTCCTTTCCCCCTTCAACTTCAGAAGCCAAAATATTTCCACACGTCAGCTTTTAACGAGGAGGGTGTTTGGATTTGGCGCTCAGCCATCGCGTCCGCGCATGCGTCTGTTATGTGCACGCCACAGACGGTCCGGCCACTGCACTTCCGCGCTTCAGAGTTCCGTCTTTCGCGTTCCGTCAATATTACGTTATTATAAATATATATCTAAATTTTTTTTTTTTTTTTTTGAAAATCGATTTTTGACAATTGTGAATCGATTCAGAATCGTCCACATCCGCATCGCGATGCATCTAAGAATCGATTTTTTCCCCCACCCCTACTCAGATGTAGTGCATTTGCAACAGATGTAGCAACATTTATTCTGTATTTTGATGTGCATTCAAGTATAAAATTATTGAAAAATAAATGTAGGACGTTGCACTCCCAAATGGAAGCAGAAGAGCATGAGCTTGAAAAGGGCGGGTTTAACCCGAACTAAAGGATTGAACAAGTCTTGCAAACGTCACCAGAGAGAAGTCTGAAGTTAAAACATTGATTAACCTGTTAACTGGCACCCCCCTTTTTTTTGCATAGACATAAAAATCACTATCCAAACTTAAATGGTTGTAATTCAGGAATGCTTTGGAATATAGACCTATGGCTGGTCTTGTTTTAAAGAAGACATTTTCCAGATTATTGTAGAAGTCTAGAAATGATAAATGAAACAGAAAAAAAGTTATATAAGTTTGAGTTTATGAAATGGTGTAATGTAAAAATATAATTATTAATATTTTATATAAAATATATATATTACAAAATATATTTTACTCTAAAACTGCAAGAAAATTAAAGACAAGAATCTGAACAAGTTGTATTCCAAATTTTAGGTTGATATCTAAAAAAATTAGCTTTCAGTAAGATTTTATTTGGGCGCAGTACCCAACTTTTTCACTAGACTCCATTACTGCCCATATAAGGGCGCCTCCATTTTCATATATGTTTTGAGTGATCTGAACCATGTATTTCCATAATTTTCATACAATTTATGAAGTAGACATCCTATTCAGAAGTAGTATGGGTGGTTTGGCAGTATTTGATTTGAATTCAACCTCTAATAAATGCATAAAAAGACTACGTTATAGCGTTATAGCTCGCAGCCAATCAGAAATCGAGAATCCATACATTTTTCTTTATATTTAAAACATTTTCAGACCTTTTTTTCTCATAAAATGAAATTGGTGTTATCTTTTGAACTCATGGCATGAAAACAAACTGAGGTTTCTACCAATCTCATGATTTTTCGTGTTTATTGTTATTTCAAAATAAAGGCCTAAATACTCCTAATGAATATGAAATATTATTTTTGCAAATTGATAAATTACTGCTCCTCTGTAATTTATTTTAGATAACAGCCACCAAATATGAAAACTAGAGATTTTAAGCTTTCAAATGATATATAGTTTGGCAATATTACTTTAGGTTTTTACTAAGATATTATTGTTTTAAACATGCAATGGCAAATGGCGGCGGGCCCTTGCAGGTTAAGAGGTTAAAACAAGAAAAAAAAAACTGAAGCGTATATGTAAGGATGAATCTTTCACAATAAGATCCATTACATGCATTTGGAAAATAGGGTGAATTTTCTGAACACTTTGTATGCACTGTATAATTAAATACGGTTTTTAAAAATATTTCTGCTTGTTTGATTTCAGAATTAGTTAGATCTCAAACAAATATTTGATCTCAAACAACAAATATTTGATTCGAATATTTAATAATTTACTATTAGCATTAATAAATTATTATTATTATTTGCATCATACATGTTATGAATATGGGGAAAATAACTGCTTTAATTTCTCAGATCATTAATGTGTGAGACCCAAATGTAGGATGCTTGCTTTGTCTGGCTGGCTGCTTGTTTTTGATCCTGTCAGTAACGTGTTTGTCTCAATAATCATGAATTGGGCACCACGGCTCACGCTGCCTGCAGGAAACACGTGCACTTAGATGATCATATTAAGACTTTCCCCGGCTGTAGACTAGATTCCTAAAATTGTAGCATGTGTGTGGCATTTAGGTGTGGTCTGGAGTCCTGCAATAACTTCTTTCGAGATTCTAGAGCGGATTCATACATACAGCCTTATCTTATCAGAGGGAAAAAGGAAAACAAACCTTCATTGTTTGTCTTCTCATTTCCTGCACTTCCTACAAATAAAAAGCATGAACACAATAAACATGTCTGCCAATGCTCTGAGTGATTGAGCTGCTGTGGTGTGTGTACAGAGCGTGGTTAATGAGCATATATATAAAAAAGAAGTTGCCATCCACTAGTCTAGAGCTGTGAAAACTCAAAGCTATGCTAAAGTAACTTCTGGCAATCACTCCTGCACACGATCATTTACACTTGAGTATTAATACAAATGATTTTATGTAGAAAATGAGGCTCATGAGATAGTCCACCTGTATAGAAGCTCTTGAACCCTCCATCAGTACTGCTGGAGCCCAGGCCTGCAAGTGAAGAGGGGAAGTACATGACGTTTAAGAGCACATTTAAAGGACACAAAATCAAATTTGCCTTGATCTTTTGACAGGTGTTTGCGCACCATTAAAACATCCTGTAAGTTTTAGAGCTTAAAAAGTTTTTAAAAAGCATTTAATTGAGCTCATTATAACATTATCGAAAAAGTTGTGATTTTTTTTTTAGGGCGGGCTCTTGGTTTATGCATCAGTTGCTTATTGGCTTTGAGAACGAGTCTTGCAAAGGTCACCAGAGAGAAGTCTGAAGTTATAACATTGATTCAAAATTACAAGTAAGAAAAAAACCCTGAAGCATACATGTACAGATGAATCTTTCACAATAAGATCTATTACATGCATTTGGAAAATGGGGAGAATTTTCTGAATATTTTTGAAAGCACTGTAATGCACATCACAGGTCAGAGGTCACTCTCCGCCAGAACACGACTTGCTTACGGTGCTGTGGTGTTCACTTAATAGGCCGTTTATTTTCATATAGTAATATTTAACTATCACATTCTTATCTAAAACACCATATATTGAATACGGTTTGACTGAAAATGTCTGATTTTTAATTGCGTTTCAGTTAACATTAGTTAATTACATTAGTTAACATGAAGTAACAATAAAAAATATTTAATACATTGTATTTGTTTAATCTTAAGTTTGTTAATTTCAACATTATACTAATACATTAAAATCAAAAATGTTATCCGCTAAAATGAAATGGACTTGAGCTAACATGAACTAACAATGAACAGTTGTTTTAATTGGCATTAATAACTAACGTAACAAATGTAGCTGTTGCTCGTTGTTAATGTTAGCTCACGTAATGCATTAACTAACCTTAACTGATGAGACTATGTTAAGTGTAAGCTATTGTTCTTTAGCACTTTGAACTGTTTGAAACATTTGTTTGCTTTATACATTTTTTCTGCACCATTTTATTAAAATGTTCAGGGTTATTTTTATTGTAAGAAAACAATAAGTTATTAAACCTGTTGGGATGACAACACTTTATTCTAACCTAATTGTATTTGTGATACCATATAGGCTACCATGTGATAGGAAAATTTGATACCGTCACGTGTGTTTCCCCCAGGATTTTGTGAAACTGTGGTTGGGTTTTACAAACCTGTTTCATTAACAACTTACCTCTGTCCCTCTAGGGGCTTTTTAATGTTGTTTACATGTCTATGTGGTCTTTTTAAAATGAATTTACACATGGTTTGTCTTAAAGCATAAGTCGACAGCATTGCTGAGTATTTTCTCCTTAAACTGCAGTGAACCAAAGACAGTCTCAACAACACGGTTTGAAATCGCTGGTGTTTCTGATGTCACACACTACCTTGTAACCAATCAGATCAACGTGCAGGCGGGCTTTAGCATATCATTAACTATGACTGCTCTGAAGCAAGGGAGTTTCAAGAGAAGCCAGGATATCCCGGTATTTTTTTCTGTTGATATGAAAATCGTGTAATGGCGGAAACATGGATTATGTAACATTAGCATCACATTATTAGCTGTTTGATAAGTCAAGCAAAGGGCTAGTCTCCTTAATTACAGTTGTGTTGGACGTTGTAGAGAGCGATACATAAAACGCATGACCATTCTGATACTGAGTGGACCTCTGAGCAGGTTCGAGTGAGTGGAGGTGGGGGCTTTATGCCCTTTATATTGTAACACTTACATACTAAACATTTACTGCACAATATGAAACTGCACAGAATGTTAAAAAAAAAAAAAACACCTACCAAATCCTGATTTTGAGGACACAACAGGGCTCTGTAGAAGGACAAAAAATAACATTAACAACTTACCTACATTAACCATTCCCAGCTCATGATGTTCTATTGGGTTTGAGTGAGTTAAAAGCAGGAAACCTGTACAGTTATTTACTATAGCTCAGACTGGACTGCAAAAAATATGATCAATAAAATATGACTAGGGCTGCAACAACTAATCGATAAAATCGATAATAATCGATTATGAAAATCGTTGTCAACGAATGTCATTATCGATTAGTTGGTCTGCTTACGTCACGGGGAGCGTTTACTGGTGATTGGTTGAAACGGGCCAATCAGGATGCTCTCTGTCTTACACGCGCTTCATGAGGCACGCACACACGCAAGGTCTCTCTCCCTCCGTTGCTCTGCCGCGCGCTCGTGCTACACGGTTTGGAGCACAGTCTCTTCTGTCTCGCATGCGCGCTCTTGCTTGCGTGCTCAAATCCCGGGAGTTTGAACTAATTTGCGAGGATCAGGGAGCCGCCGCTATCAATATGCGGGTGACTTCCAGAACTTCCGGGAGACTTGGGATGTCTGTATTTTGCGTCTCGAGCATCAGGTTGCGCAATCAGTTCACTCCTAAAATAAGTGATGGATTAAAATAGTGCTACCGCAGAAATATTAAATTAAAACGGTCTTTACAAAGCGAAGCACTAAATATAAAGGCAGTTAATAACAGCAGCAGTAAATTATTGTTTTTTAGTCACTGTACTCAGTGGTTTTCAGCGAATGTTTGTGCACTAATGCATCATTTTTCCTGTCTTTTTAATCAAGCCTGTTAACTTGCTGCGTACCTCCATTACGTTCTCTTATTATAGCATTTGTCTAGCCTACTATTAAGCTTTAATTGTTTTTCAAACGCGATCTACTGCGGCTCTGTTCACACGCTTGTTTTCAGTCTTTCTATATTTATTTTCACAAATTAACCTTAATTCAATTAATTTTAAATAATTAAATTAATTATATATTTGAGATGTTTTTAGTTTATATCTTCACATCTGAACAACATGTCTGTAAATTTGTTTTAACAAAAATTGTGCTAAAACAATGTTGGATATAAATGTTTTTTTTTTTTACATTAATCATGGTTGTCAACTTGCCATCAGCAATTATCATTAAAAACAATGCAAATATTGATATTTGTAAAACTCAATGTGTGGCTTTTGCACTTTTTAAAGTACACTTTTACACATAAATATCCTAATTTAGGGTTTTAGATAACATTTTATTTTACGGTGTCCTTGTTACATATGTTACATGTACTTACTGTGGTAATAACAGTAAATTATGCATAATTACATGCAACTAACCATCAAACTAATCATACCCTATTCCTATAGTAAGTACATGTAGTTACTTAATATTACTCTGTACTTAAATATATAATTACACTATAACAAGGACACCTTAAAATAAAGTGTAACCGGGTTTTATTTAGTCATAATAAACAAAAAATCTAATTGATTTTTTTATCCGATTAATCGATTATCAAAATAATCGTTAGTTGCAGCCCTAGTTATGACAATATGTTTTTACATGGCTTTAACTCATCAAAATAAGCAATTTTCAACTTTTAAAAAAAGTTATAAAAGACATAACTCAAAAGGGATAGTTCACCCAAAAATTAAATTTACCCCATGATTTACTCCCCCTCAAGTCATCCTAGGTGTATCTGAGTTTCTTTCAGAAAAATACAATCGGAGTTATATTATAAAATGCCCTGGCTCTTCCAAGCTTTATAATGGCAGTGAATGTACGACCGTTTATGTTTTGAAGTCCATCCAAGTGCATCTATCCATCATAAAGTGCATCTGTCCATCATCTGTCCACGATAAAAGTGCATCTACCCATGATAAAGTGCATCTATTCATGATAAAAGTGCATCTATTCATGATAAAAGTGCATCTATTCATGATAAAAGTGCATCTGTCCATGATAAAAGTGCATCTACCCATGATAAAGTGCATCTGTCCATGATAAAAGTGCATCTACCCATGATAAAGTGCATCTATTCATGATAAAAGTGCATCTACCCATGATAAAAGTGCATCTATTCATGATAAAAGTGCATCTATTCATGATAAAAGTGGATCTGTCCATGATAAAAGTGCATCTACCCATGATAAAAGTGCATCTATTCATGATAAAAGTGCATCTATTCATGATAAAAGTGGATCTGTCCATGATAAAAGTGCATCTACCCATGATAAAAGTGCATCTATTCATGATAAAAGTGCATCTATTCATGATAAAAGTGGATCTGTCCATGATAAAAGTGCATCTACCCATGATAAAAGTGCATCTATCCATGATAAAAGTGCATCTACCCATGATAAAAGTGCATCTATTCATGATAAAAGTGGATCTGTCCATGATAAAAGTGCATCTATTCATGATAAAAGTGCATCTATTCATGATAAAAGTGCATCTACCCATGATAAAGTGCATCTATTCATGATAAAAGTGCATCTATTCATGATAAAAGTGCATCTATTCATGATAAAAGTGCATCTACCCATGATAAAAGTGCATCTATTCATGATAAAAGTGCATCTATCCATGATAAAAGTGCATCTACCCATGATAAAGTGGATCTGTCCATGATAAAAGTGCATCTATTCATGATAAAAGTGCATCTATTCATGATAAAAGTGCATCTACCCATGATAAAGTGCATCTATTCATGATAAAAGTGCATCTATTCATGATAAAAGTGCATCTATTCATGATAAAAGTGCATCTGTCCATGATAAAAGTGCATCTACCCATGATAAAGTGCATCTGTCCATGATAAAAGTGCATCTACCCATGATAAAAGTGCATCTATTCATGATAAAAGTGCATCTACCCATGATAAAGTGCATCTATTCATGATAAAAGTGCATCTACCCATGATAAAAGTGCATCTATTCATGATAAAAGTGCATCTATTCATGATAAAAGTGGATCTGTCCATGATAAAAGTGCATCTACCCATGATAAAAGTGCATCTATTCATGATAAAAGTGCATCTATTCATGATAAAAGTGGATCTGTCCATGATAAAAGTGCATCTACCCATGATAAAAGTGCATCTATTCATGATAAAAGTGCATCTATTCATGATAAAAGTGGATCTGTCCATGATAAAAGTGCATCTACCCATGATAAAAGTGCATCTATCCATGATAAAAGTGCATCTACCCATGATAAAAGTGCATCTATTCATGATAAAAGTGGATCTGTCCATGATAAAAGTGCATCTATTCATGATAAAAGTGCATCTATTCATGATAAAAGTGGATCTGTCCATGATAAAAGTGCATCTACCCATGATAAAAGTGCATCTACCCATGATAAAAGTGCATCTACCCATGATAAAAGTGCATCTACCCATGATAAAGTGCATCTATTCATGATAAAAGTGCATCTACCCATGATAAAGTGCATCTACCCATGATAAAAGTGCATCTACCCATGATAAAAGTGCATCTACTCATCATTAAAGTGCATCTGTCCATCATAAAAGTGCATCTTTCCATCATAAAAGTGCATCTGTCCATGATAAAAGTGCATCTATTCTTGATAAAAGTGCATCTATCCATCATAAAAGTGCATCTATCCATGATTAAAGTGCATCTATTCTTGATAAAAGTGCATCTATCCATGATTAAAGTGCATCTATTCTTGATAAAAGTGCATCTATCCATCATAAAAGTGCATCTTTCCATCATAAAAGTGCATCTGTCCATGATAAAAGTGCATCTATTCTTGATAAAAGTGCATCTATTCTTGATAAAAGTGCATCTGTCCATGATAAAAGTGCATCTATCCATGATTAAAGTGCTCCACACGGCTCCAGGGGGTTAAAGGCCTTCTGAAGTGAAGCAATGTGTTCATCGATTTACGGTGGAAGAGTAATCCCTGACCCGACGCTGACGTAAAGAGCAAAACAAAACACCAGTCACGAATTAAGAGTCTAAAACGAGAATTTTTAAAGAGAAATGTGGGAGGAGCTTGAGTTTGTGTCCCAGCCCTGTTTGCTTGAACAGTGAGAGGCGTCTAAACTTACGCTAGTCACACATCTACGTCACAAGTTACTCTTGTGGCGTAGGCCGTCTGCCGGAAGCTCATTATTTTAGCCGATAAAGGTTTAAATATGTTTATTTATCTTACATGAACACATGGCTTCACTTCAGAAGGCCTTTATTAACCACCTGGAGTCGTGTGGAGCACTTTAATCATGGAGAGATGCTTTTTTTTTTTTAATGGACTTCAAAACAGAAACGGTAATTGACTGTTATTATAGAGCTTGGAAGAGCCAGGGCATTTTATAATATAACACCGATTGTATTTGTCTGAAAGAAGAATGTCATACACCTAGGATAACTTGAAGGTGAGTAAATCATGGGCTAAATTTCATTTTTGGGTGAACTATCCCTTTAAGTTGAAATGTCAAGAGAGCACTAGTCCCGTCATAGGGTGTACTTGTAGTGCTTATCAAGTTTTAGAGTATAACTTTGTGGAAAGCTGTTTTTACTTTTATTCATTCCCAGGATATAAATGCGATTTCAACAATTCAATTTTCACTAGTTAAAAATGCTAATTCTAAATTTTAAGAATTAGATTTCTACTTGTAACAGTGGCTTTTTTTTATATCAGTAATTACATTCCCACTAGTAAAAATTTTAATTCTTGATATCAACAATGACATCACTCACAGAAATACGAATTATTGATATCAATTGAATTTCAACTAGTAAAAACTATCATTCTTGATATCTGTAATTGTATTTTCACTAGTTAAATGTCACCATAGGTTGCCATTCAAATTCAATTGTTGATATCAAGAAATGATTTCAAACATACTGAAATTACAATTTCACATATCAGAAATACAATTCTTACTACTATAAATAGTCATTTTTATCAATAATTACATAGTTTCTAGTACAAATATAAAATCCTGATATCAAGAACTTAACTGTTACTGTCAAAATGTTGAAATACATTTACAGATATCAAGAATTAACATGTTACTTTTTTATATTTCAGATATCTGAACATATATTTCTTTTATCAATAACTAGGAGTAATTTCAGACATCTAAAATGGCAGTGCACGTCACTATGGATAAAAGTGCAGCCAAATACGTAAATGTAAAACGTACTGCCAAAACTTAAAATGCAATCAGCTCACGCAGTAACAATATATACATTTAGTATGCCAAATATGAAAGAACAATGGCTAATGTTCGCAATGCTACTGAAGTAACTGTAACAAGCACGTTAGAGGAGAGCACGTGGCTTTGCACTCATCTCGGTCTGGCGAGGAAGAGTGTGGTGGACTTTACCTGATCTTCCTCCCAGTCATCCATGTTGAGCAGCTTCGGCTGAGAGGGGACGATTCAGATCTGTGACAGAAAGTAAAATGTGAACACCATGTCCTACTTTAGGAATCAATAACCTAGGCTAACATTTTGAGTTAGGCCTAACGTTATTAAAATTCAAAGCCGGTCATTAGAGTTTCTCTTTCAACGACAACAACTGTAAAACGCTGATATCTAACAAAAGCTGCAGTCTATATGTTTTAAATTTGTTATCACCGTGATAAACGTTGATTTAAATACTAATAATTAAACATAGACACGCTAATCAAAATGACTGAAGTTAATTGAACCGCGGCAGAAACTAGCATCTCGTCAATTAACGCTTCACTTTGACTCTAACGACTCAACTTTCTCTTAAATTCGTGTTGATACAATTTTTTTAAGACTTAGATCATTTTAGCGTAGTTTGTAAAGTTAAAACAGCATACATTTATCCGAAGAGCTGATGGCACGTGCGGCTGGAGACAGTCAGGGCGCTCGCGAGAGACCGGGCAGAAGTGACGCATGTACTTGTGGGCGGGAAACCAGAACGCGCTGCGATTCGCGCGTTTGAACAGATTCTTTTTAACGAATCAGGCGAACGATTCACTCATCCGTTTGAATGTTTTTCGACATCTTGAAGTTATTGTTCTGAATCGATGGGCCAAATGACTCTGAGTCATAATTCTTTCATTGTCCGGAATCAACTTGCGGCGTTTAATGAGTTTTTTTATTAATTAAAATAACTCAATTATAATCAACTAAAGAAATGTACATTTTAAAATAGTAATTGATTATATGTTGTTTATGGTCACCTCTGGATGGTTAGTGGTACACAGGTTTTTTGATTGGTCTCCCCCCCCAACAGTCCTTAAATATGTGGATTGGGAGCAATTAACATCTCAATTCACCCTAATGATTACCCTATTCAAGTGATTACAAAAGCGTTAACACCTATATAACAGATTGTTAGACAAGGTTTAGAATAGTGCTGTTAAACACTGAAGACACATTCCTCCTGTTAGTTACATCAATGGCCTTCCCTCTAAACACTAATTACCATAGGAGAGTGATGATGTGTGTTTTTCCAACAAGAGATCATGAAAATCTGACATTAATATAATGCATAACATTGGTGGTAAAGAGAAAGACACATGATGAGTAAAGTTCATCTCAACTAGCTTTTCCACAAGCTGACTATAGCTGAGATAAATATTTGGATGACACAAATATAAAACACCATAATGGTAACACATATGAAACTAAAATAATGCAATAAACATTAGTTTATCAACATAAGATGTAAGATAAAATCATAATGTACAACACATAACCAAAAGAAGAAGAAAAACTAAGAAGCATAAAATTAAAAACCATCAAATGTGAAGTGTCAAGTCACCTTTATAGCGTGTCACACTGGGAATGTCATTTTATGGCTTTTCACTATAAATTATACGATTTTTTTGTTGTTTTTACTTCCAAAAATGGTGCATTTAACAGTATATCAGTAAAAACATAAGGTGAAACTTTATGCTGTGGATCCTGGAGAATATTTTACACTCTTTTCCGAAAGGCTGGCATTAATTGTATGTTTAGAGAGATTAATGATTGTGAAGACATATCACAACTTGTTGTTTCAGTGGAGAGATTTTTGAGCTCTTGATGTAATTTTGTCATGTATGGTTTAGATAGTGTTACACACAATGCGGTGTTGACCTGATTGTGCAGTGCTCAGGTGAAGAACAGGTGTACAGAGGCCAGCACGTAATGCTGCTCACTCACTGCAACCCTTATAAACCCACCTGAACATGTGCTCATTCACTCACCGTGACTCAAGAATCTGTTCCTCTTTACTGCTACACACTCGGTACACACTAATCACCTGATTATTCAGCAGGTGGTGTTGCCGTTCTTGCTGAACACCATGCACCTGCTGAATAATCCAGTCTGTCTGTTCACCAGCAGCATACATGGGTTTTGCACACTGGGACCAGTTTAGGATGCTGGTTTGCAAGTGCTGTTTTGGAGTGTGGTTGTGGACTTGTGGTGATTCTTTTTTATTAGAAGGAAATTCAGCCAAGAGCTGCATATGTAAATATTATGTGTACTTACCATTTTTCTTTTGGTTTTCCATTTACCTTGTTTCTTTTTTTTGTTGTTAATGTGTGGACTTTTGGGACTGTTACGGACACTGTAAATAAACATTCTTGCACTGAGGTGCTATTGTGGCCGTCATTACTGTCTCCAGTACTTCACCAGCACGCCTCATCGTCAGATACAGTCCCATATACAAAGAGTAAAGTAACACTGAAGCAGTGTTGCAGTTAATGAAATCAATTCGTGATATTTGACCATTAGTGACGACCACTGCGCCTTAGATTATATCTCTTCATATTTTACCAGAGTATTCTTAAACAACTCTAAAAACTATTAGACTCTAAACTATCATTTATTAGAAACCTTGGCTTTAAAAGTTGGTTGAAAATAACCATTTGTCAGAGTCCTTGATTAGCGTTCCCTTAACTGGACACTTGGCCCTTGACTTTTCTTAAATTAATTCAGCAGTTATAGAAAGTGCACAATTTTGTCTACAATTTATGTTCCTGACTGTAATGACACACTTGTTACTGTGTGCATTTTTTTGAGTCTGACTTTTATTATCAAGTTGTTTATAGGAGTGAAAGAGCCGTTGTAATAATTCCTGTTATTGTACAAACTGCTAATGGATATGCCCTCCCCCCCTTTGTTTTCATATCTCCAAATGTTTTTGTTTTGCAAAGCACACACACTTTTGATATGTGTACAGATCCACATTTTGATGAATGTGGATGTAAAATGTATCACGGTACATTATTCACCATGATCTGTGAAGATAAGAAAATGTTTTGAACCACAGTTATTTTGTCTCTTGAATTAAGGAGAAGAGGATCTGGATGCATCTTTTTTCTTATTAATAAGAATCAAAAAGATAATAGTCCAAAGGAGAAAACAAACAAAACAGCTTTACATCCAAACGTAAAGACAATACTCAACAATGAACTTAAGTAACTGAGGGCATTAAATACAAAAAAATAAACAAGGAACTAAACAACACACAGACGATAATCATTTAAACAAGCTAGTAATTATGGGAACAAAGGAAACCGGGACTAAACAGCAAATAGGAACATACAAACTGAAAGAACTAAAACCCACATAGAACGTGACATAAATAAACTATGATTCACATTTTACCCATTTGAATGTTTTTTTTTCTTTTGCTATTCAAAACTTCAAATCACATCGATTAAGAAAAAAAAACTTAACAATAACATAATCAGAACCGTCAGTTGTATTTTCAACAGAAGGGGCAAAAGAAATGACAAATTGATCATGTTATATGGTTTAAAATCATTTATTGTTCCTTTAAGTGCTAAATTTAGAACTACACAAGCCAAAACCATGCTTGTCCCACAACACTGCTTACTGACCACTGGCCTACAGTCAAGCAAGCAGGACAGTGCTGGTCAACCACCCATCAGAACAAACAGTGCTTATGAAACAGCTTCACTGTATTTGTTTAGCTTGAAAACAGCACTTTTCATGGTCCACCAGACCAGCACTATCAGGAAGTACTGGCAGTACTTTTCCATTGCCTTGCTTTAGTATATAAACCTGTTGAATTTGAAGGTAAGGTAATTTATTTATAAAGCACAATTAAAAACAACGAGTAGTTGACCAATGTGCAGTACAATTTTTGAAAACATGCCAAGGGCAAATGTACAGAACATTTATACAAATTTGAAAGACTATTTCAATAAACTCTGCTAATTTTAACCACCACTTTGTCTCCTGCTCTTCCTCTGCCTGCACCTCTTGGATTTGGATATTAGACAAAACTCAGTGTTGACCGATTTTATGTTGGATATTGATGACAAGAAGTGTGCAACTGCAGTACAAAAGAATACGTGTTTATTACAGACAGTCTGGATGTCCTAACGGCTGAATTCGCTGGGTGTCCCAACTCCAAACCATTAAGTTATCTTTTTGGCTTTCATAAAGCATAAGTCGCACATAAACGATTTCATATCTGTTTGTCGGAATGGGGAAGTAGTAACTCGGGGAGGTAAACTAAAAACAATTCAGGTCAAGCGGTTAATAAACGGCCGTTAGAGTTTGAACGCGGCCGTTGATTGGACAACGTCACCATAGCTCCTCCTCCTTTACCTGACGTCACGACTGACGCCTCCCCTCCTCGACTGGCGTTTTTACTTTTAAAGCTTAAGCTGGAGTACATTCAGACAACATTTACACAGATGATTGTAATACATCGTTAATGGAGAATCTTAGAGGCCCGCAACATGCCAGAATGAGCTAATTCCTGTGTGCCCGTTAGCTGAAGGATGATGATGTTTGCTGCTGGTGCTTTTAGCATGTATGCTAATGTTAGCTCTCCTCATTCAGTGTTTCTATGTGTGTGATAGATAGCTAACATAGCAGCTCACAGCCTCCGATTTCACTTCGATCTCTTTTAGAGCAGGTAAGAATATAACTTCCTTGCTGTTCATCACCTCTAACACCATGCATGTGTTGTGTCTGACACAACATGTCTGCAGGAGGAGTCATTAACTGTTAACGTTAGCTGGTGGAAGAAGTGAGACGTCAAACTGCACATGACTTTTACTGCCATACTAATGCATTATCACACCGTTTGTCATGTTAGGACAGATATATGCTGTCAGTCACATGACACTGGCTTTAAAACTGTTGATTTGACTTTGATCCATCAGATATCTAATTTAACTAAGTTTAATATCTTCTATCTTTTATAATGAATTAACACCGAATCCGTTATGGTGCTTATCTGACTGTAGCGCTGGTGTGTGTGACACTTGTTTGTTTTGTGGTGAATTGAATTGCCCCTGCTGTGTGTGTGAGGTCTGTCCAGTCTGCTGCTGAGTTGTGTGTGTCATGTGGTGTTGTGTATGTTGTGTGTGTCATGTGGTGTTGTGTGTGTTGTCAGACAGGTGGTGTCAGTGACAGATGTCCCAGGATTATGGCAGTTCTCTCTGTTTATGTCTCGGATCACTGCAGGGTTTTCAGCATTTCTTTTGGTTAGTTTAGTTTATTTACTTTTATAGCACAATAATAATACTGTCGCTGACCATTGTGCTGTACAAAAATTGTAAAACACAACACCAATCAAATCAAAGACTTTCTAAAACAAGTTGAGAAAGACTCATATTATAAGCCTTCTCTAAAAGGATAGTTGACAAATAATGTGGACGTTATTAATGAATGATTTAAAAAATATATATTATTATTATTCAACATCATGGCTATTAGGGGTGTAACGGTTCAATCAAATTGTTCACTGTTTGGTTTTTATCACAATTTTAGGGTCAGTTCGGTAAGTGCAATGTTCAGGGAAAAACGACTTCTAAGAACAAGTAATCAAACTACAAGCAACAGCACAAATAAACACAATAGTGCAAAGATTCAAATAAAATAAACAGTGCTTCAGGTAGCTCTAACATTAGTTTTCAAGTACAGAGATTGAA